AAAGTTGTCAATTTCATTCCGCTATTTTTTTTTCTTCCCCCTCCCTCCCTGGGGTGTTTTCAGGAAAAGTATTCCAACAAAGCGAAAATTATTAATTTGTAGATCACAAATAGTGCCCCTTTTGTAGTTTGCGATGCATCAGTTCGCAATGAAAAATGATAGCTGTCATTCGTTTAGGCTTTGCGTGCGGTCCCGTCCCACATGGTTGCCGGGTATCATGTCTGATTCATGACTGCTTCGGCCTTCGCATCGTTGTCTGAATCTTCTGATTTTTTAAATGTGTTAATATTTTTGCACCGAGTTCATGGGTTGAGCTGAGAATTAAACAATGGTTAGCAGTAGCCGTTCGATGTGGTGAGACATGGTCATATCGTGCACGGACACCCTTTAAATAGCAAGAAGGCGTTCAAAATGCATTTGAATTTCGGAGGCATGCGCCCCGCAGATCACGTCGATATGGTTCGAGAATCCCCAGTTAGACATAACATTACTGTGACTGCGAATTCCGTATCTAGGTCTAGGTCAGATCTAGGCCTCGGTCGTAATAGCGTGACGTACTGGGCTTACAAGACTATGCCTTTCAAGGTCTAGGTTAGGCGCAGGCCTAAGCCTAACCCGCAGATGGACGCTAAGGCTAACTCCACTATCGTACGATTTCTTTCTTCGAGAAAGTATTGATGGAAGATAAACCTGATAGGGTGAGTGCTGCGAAAGTCTGCCTTCAAAACAAATTCTACATTTCCACCTTGCTTGCTGTTTTTCATAATGGAGCTTTCTCGTTCGTATTGGGTCTGGTGATACCTTTATTATAAACTTCCTTGTACCGTAAATCTCGAGTGCTCCAGGCCTTTCATTTCCGAAGACCTGGATCAAGGCTGAAGTTAGGTTAGATGTTGGTTATCTCGGCACACTTGCTGGCATAGACGGCACCACTTTGTCGGGATTCTCAGCACACTTGTGAATAATTTTCATTTACAACGGATCCAAAAATGAATGTAACGACCCGATAAAACACTACATAATGTGGAAGAGAATAACGGAATGTGCAAAAGCTTTTCGAAATCACAAGATTTCGCAGGATTTTCGAAGTGCGCTTAGAGAATATGGCCACTGCGAGAAAACTACAACGGCAAATATAACTGTTCCAAGCACTTGTTAACAACGTTAGTCCTACCATCTGAGAATACCTATCAATCCTAGGGGACTAGTAGTGGAAGCAGAATTTTGACGATTGCAAAGTGCCGAGATTACCCCCAGTGCCGGTATTCGTAGCACTTACCCTAGCTGTTGGATTGCATACTACAGGTGCAGTTCGACTTGGGTGTGTGGCCTGAGGGGACTGACCTAGCAGGCCTATGACAAACGCACAGGCCTTCACCAACTTGACCTTTTCGCATCCAGAAACTGTGCGGTCTATCTGACTGATAATCTTACTGCGGTACGATGCCTTTAGGGATGTACCTTTCTAGGCCATAGGCTAGGTGGAAATAAAAGAGTTGTGTACAGGTTCGCTTGCGGATGCGAATGGGTTACTTGGTGTATCATATGTCGGTAATCGTATGGTTTAGCATTGTGGACTTGGCGCGATGGCTGATGCGCAACGCCAATGAAACTATGCCTCTCTGGACCATAGGTTAGGACACTCAGGAACATAGGGACATGAAACCCATTTAGTAAGTGTGACCGAAGCGACGCAAACCAGTTGACAATATTTATATCCGTCATTCTAGCGCGATCGAAGACCAGCATCTCAGGAGTTCGCAAAGTAATCGAACCATGATGCTCTTGAAATCCTCTCCACCACGTATTCCCAGGGCGAATGTTAGTGAATGGAATCTGCCTTTGAGGAATTCCTAGTCTCTCCTTACGTCTTTATCATCCATTATCCGCCTGCGAAGGTCAAGATCATCTGCACGGAAATCATATCCTAATTGGGCCATGTGCTGGATGTAACTCTCCAGCCTCTCTTCCTCTTACCTTGTGAAAATATTGAATAGTTGCAGGGCCAGGTCTGTTCAGGTCCTGCGGTCTTTGACCGTAGAGTTTGTCGAACAAGGTCGTTCTTGGAATCCCATACTCGAGACGTATTCTCATTGGCTTGTCTCTTGCGATTCTTAGCAGAGCCTCCCGGACCTCTGCCACGGTGTATTTGGACTTTTGTTGGATTTGTCTGCCGTTGGTTACCTATGGATGCATTCGCTCCTAACTCATTCGCATCCAGGAACTTTTCGGCCTATCTGGCTTAGAATTGTGCTGCCTTAGCCTGACGGGCGAGGCCCACAAGCGCATGCCTATATAGGCCATTGACAAGTGGAAGAACACGGGATGGTATGTATCAGTACGCTTGTGACTGCTAGTGGATTAGGGACGTCGGGATATCCTCTGGAATGAGTAGATCCAGTATTACATGTCTACATCGCAGTGTGGAAATTAAAGGGACATGTGGATTCTCTGTCTTCATTACTCTTTTAATGCATCGGGAACCATGCATAGCCGATCGGCCGCGTGGGCACATTAAGGGTAAAAAGAGAACTGATGTATCTCTAACGTTTTTCAAACTCAAGTCACGGATGTATTATATCTCTATTGTAGCAGTTTCCTTTTTAGGTAACTAGCTACAAGTGGAGTTCCGGGGATGCATTGGTGCATTCCAACAAATGAATAAATGCCCGAACAGGTGGCTTTTCGCTCGCTTATCTTTCAACCACTGTATGCCTGTCGAGGTCCAGCCCGGGTAGGTCGAGAATGCTGAAGATCCAGGCCTAGATAAGCGGATGACCTTCATTGGGCCTTTCGGTTCTCAAGCCCCATTTCGACAAGTTATGGCTTCAATTTCGAGTAATACGTTCAATTTTCGAAATTGGGTATTCGGTTGATACAAATCTGTGGCGAGGTTCGCAACTCCTTGCGTTACACTGTGACTTGTAGAAACGTGTCGGCACGAGAGTCCATTTCATGACAAACGACGGCGAAGTGTTTTGTGGTTCTAAAATTTGGTGTTTCATCATTGCACATTGAATGGATTTGTCATTTTTATGCTAGGAACATATTACAACTGTCTCTACCGGTTGAGTTGTACGACTCCGTTCCGCGTTGAAGTTTAGCGGATACTATTTTTTGTACTTCGATTTTGCTCCCTTCATGCAACCAAAAGAAAAGGAAAGAAAACAACTCGACATTGGAACTATGACTAATCGTACGTTGACGTTGGTACCTTATTTGTGATTTCTGAAAAAACCCACCCGAAAAAATTGTGAAGCACACAAGTAAATTTATTTATTGACATACTCAATCGATGTTTCGATGGGTCTTTGTAATACCTCCCATTTCTTGGATAATTACCTAAAGAACGTTCATTTGTTCTTTCGCCTTCTCTTTCTCCAGCGCCACAACTAAACATGGGTAGACACGAGGCCATCACTCCTCCATGTCGCTTAACAAGACCATTACTGGAGCAGATGGTGAACTGAACTGGCATTACAATTGTGCGTGCGCTAACACCTGACTGAGCTTGACTGAAGTGACTGGACCGACCAAGAACTAAACGTGACTAGACTTGACCGATTCGATATAGAGGCATCCGTTGGTAATAGTGAATGCTCATAACTTATCTTGACTAAAGTGACTTGATCGAAGCATGACTTGCTTTATTTAGACATGACTGAACCGTGACTAACCTTGACTGGACTTGATCACACAGATCCGGTGTGAAGGCACCCTAAGGCCCCTTCCTTAAGTCAGAGGGAGATCATACTGGACATCTGGGGAAGCACTCTCTCTACGACCTTCACTAGTCCTTCCCGCCACTCCATTTTAGGCCTATTCTTATCTCATTCGCCACCTCAAGCACTGCTTCTACCCTTTGAAACCCATTCTCGGTTCTGACAGCGGACTCTTGAAGTCGCCGAGGTCATATTCAGGGTCGCGAACGGCAGCCAAATGCAGATTTATGCGTTTCTTTGCTATTTTAACGCATAGATGAGGGAGCATGGCTGACTTCAGCTATCGCCTGGGATCCAGAATGGTATCAGCATGATTTTTGGGGTCGCGCATGTAAAAGTTTGGGAAGCCCTGCTCTAGTGCCTCCTCCACCATCGCGATACTCGACGCGTCCTCTCCAATCTGCTCCCCGCCATCTTGATTTCCCTCATCTCAGCGCGGTGAGGCTAGGTAATGCCTACCCTGCTGTCCCCCAAGCCACAAAAGTGACACTTTTCTTAATTATCCCATCTACTGAAACTTACCGCATTTCTTAGTCATTGGCTTACAATATCTAGAGCTCACTGGAACTGCTGACCCTCTTCTATATTTTCTCGATACTTAGGAACCGATCAGTTAACAGTAGCACTGAGTATAGCTAAGTCTCTTGAAACAGCATTTTAAACCTGGAACAAATTGAGCGCTTCATGCCCTATTCTGTTTGAGGACATTTCCTTGTAGATCAATTGTCTAAAATGACAAAGTATATCACCTTCCTTCGATGGAGAGTGAATTCATCCGGAAATCAGTATAAACTCTATATCGTGAGGGAAAATGCTCCAACCTGGGTCTTTACATTTCCGTCAGGTGTGGGAGAGACACGTGATCCACCGTCGTGCAAATCGTTTGAGGGAAAATGTATATTTGATGTGACAGAGACATCGGGGATCCTGGAACCATGCGTGAACAGCAACGGACAAGTCCCGAAAAACCAAGTAAGAAAATTTTCTCCAATGAATGAAGAGAGTGCCTGTTCCTCCTCCTTTCACTGATATCTTTTAACGACTAGGTTCATTTATTTACATGGAAAGTTACTTTCTCATTTTGTCTGCCATCGACTGTAACTTCTTTTGCCGATATGGGACGTTCCTCCTTTAGCTGTGGTTAGTTGGAAACGTTTATTTTGCCAGCAAGTAACGTTTTCAAGGCTTCCATGAGATGATTCTGGCTTAAGCAATGATTACATTGATTTTTATATTTCATTTTAAAATATGAAAGTATGACGAGTGTTGAAAAATTTGCAGCAGTGCTTGTGGAACATCCGGGGCAGTATGGTGAACGTGATCGAGATCCACTTAACTCCGGAGGATTTCGGGAACTTCGCAGAGAAAAGCCTGAAATTAAGAGTTGGCCATGGATACAAGGATGATTTCCCATTCGGAAATGACGAAACCATACTTCATACATTTGAAGGCCCTGTCGAGGAAAATACTACAGTCTTGGTGGAGTACGAAGATGCGTGGGTTGATGTGCTGACCCGTAAGCAGATCTCCCCCTTCAAAGTCTTCTATAACGTCGAAAGTAAAGCAGGTGTGTTTCCTCTGTTTATTTATATTTCTCAGTTTCTCTTTCCGATAAGTTCACAATATGATCTACTTCTTTTAAATTGGTGGAGATAATACCATCTCCACTTGGGTTTTAATTTCTTGATCTCCGGCTTGGATTCGACTCCAGCTTCAAATTGTGATAATTGCAACCTTTTCAGCCGACTGGTAGACGATGTCTTTCCTGATCGCCTAAGATTTTTTCATTGTTGCATTTTTTCATAAAATCCAGAGTTCAAATTTCGCAAATTCAGATTTGACGATATGCATTTCTTGATGCAGTGTGTGGTACCTCGTGTCTCAGATTATACTTGTCTTATGCGCATAGATAATGTCTCGATATCCTGTGGAGAAAAATGCTTGCCTGATGAGACAGCAGTTACGCGGTTCCTCTCTCATTTCACTTTCGCGATTTGACATAATAGATGGAGATTCTGCTACCGCCCACTGGGATCTTAATTTCTTCCTTGTGCCTGACTCAAACTTCAAAATGCGCTACGATTGCAGCCTTGCCAGTCGATAAGCAGAAAATATATTTTTTGATCGTCTCAGATTTTTCGCTTTTTTTCATAACTCTTTTGTACAAGCTTGTAAAATTTTAATTTTACAATATTAATCTTGCACATTTTAATTTTATACCTCGCGTCTTGGTCAATACATATTTTCTTCACGCAGGGAACATCTCGACATCCTGTGGGGGCAATTGCATGCATGATGAGACAGCAACTACGGGAATCCTGGAACCATGCGTGGGTGACAACGGACAAGTACCTTCATACCAGGTATGCCCTCAGAAAACTTTCTCACATAAATGAAGAAGAGCATCACGGAACATAATTTGAGCCATTGGTTTGTAATTAGCAGGGTATCTCATGTAGGAGGGCTCATCAGGAAATATTAATTACATGGGATGATCAAATGTTCTTAGCCTTACACATAGGAGGAAGTCCTTGCCTCAAAATTCCTTCACTGTTTCTAAACATTTGAGTTCAACGCACTTGGTTCAGAAATTTTCAAGCGCTTTGATTCCTTGTTGGAAAAATTCTCCCTACTGGTCCTCAAACCACAGGTTGACTGCTGTCATCAGCTTCTGATCATTGCATATCTCCTTCCGCGCAATTAATTCTTCAGATTTGGGAACAGAAGTCGGATAGGACCAAATACGGAAAATGGATTTAAATTAGTTCCTCATCCACCCTACATTCATTTGCCGCAGTCATTGCAATAGCAGAGGTGTGAGCAGGGGCATTGTCCCGTTGCAAAAGGACGACGGCGACTTCCTTGGCATTTATGCTATATGCAATCCCTCAATCTCCGCAGCAGATCAGCGTTATACACCCCCTTGACAGTCCTTCCACACTCCGGGTCACCAACCATTAACACACCATCAGCATTACAGAAAACGATAACCATGACTTCGCTTGCTGAGGGAACTGAACGGAACTTCCTGGACGGAGGAGAATCGTGATGGCGCCTCTCTACTCTCCTGTTTCGTTCCAGGATCGTAGTGGTGGAACCATGTCTCATCCTGGGTCATATCTCTGGACAGAAACTCATTGAAGATCTGCTAAAAATTTTCAAAGAGCGCTCTGGAAGTTGTTAATCAAAAAACTTCTAACCCAATGTAAACTTTCCTGGCAACCATCTTGTGCACACCTACCTGAATCTCAAGGTGTCGCTCAAAATACTTTGAATGGTTCCATTTGAGAACCCCTTGGACCTATTGATCTGATGGTGAGAAGTCGATCACCCAGCACCATGTCGTGAACAGCTCCGACATGTTCGTCTGTAGTAGCAGTGGAGGGCTCACCTGACCGGGGATCATCTTGCACACTGACCCTACCGCGTTTGAATAGAGCAGCCCATTTCACTGTGGCATATGAAAAAGCAGCATCACCTAATGTCTCCACCGTATCATCATGAATTTATATGTAGGATGATTCTTTCTGCAAGTACTTTATAGCTACACGGACCTCACCTTTTTTACGAAAATTCCAATATATGCTTACTTCCAAAAGCCTGGAAAAAGCAGAAAGACGTACACAGTCAGCATGGGATTGCTGAGTTCCTTGCAAGGAAGGCTTAGACCTTCATCATCACACGGGCTTTTTCTGGAACACGATATTGAGAGATCTACTGCGAGAAGTCTTTCCTCTCGGTGAAGCCATCCTTTAATTGGATGCATTTATACCACTTGCGACTGAGCTTTCGAACAGCTTCAGCACCTTTGGGTATATGTTTGGGTATGTAATTGTAAAATCGATGGTTTTCAATTGTAGCAATGTCTCTGGAACATCCGGGGCAGTCCGAAGGAGGTGATCGAGATCCTCTTAACTCCGGAGGATTTCGGGAATTTCTCGGACAGAAGCCTGCTATTGAGAGTTGGCCATGGATACAAGGATGATTTCCCACTCGGAAATGAGGAAACCATACTTAACGAATTCGATGGCCCTGTCGAAAAAAATACTACAGTGTTGGTGGAGTATGAAGATGCGTGGGTCGATATGCTGACCAGGAAGGAGATCTACCCGTTCAAAGTCTTCTATAGCGTCAAAAGCGAAGCAGGTGTGTTTTCTGTTTCATTCAGATAAGTTCAAATTATAACAAGTTCATAAAAAAAAAGCAGTAAATACGGCTCTTCAGTGAGAAGCTTGCGGAAATTCGGAGGCTCTGGTAGTGGGGCGCGAACTAAATTTCGTTAACGACGAATGATGCGTTTGATGGTCTCCTTGGGCGGCAGTTTGGCCTGAACCGAGACCGGAAGTTCTGGGACGATGAAGGCCAAGATGTGAGCTGGAGTTTCGGTTAAGTCTGCAGCGCGTTTTAATTGCGTTCATCGCGTCTATTGCTTTTTGAGCGGCTAAGTCGGGCTCATGGTTGTGCCTATTCTTGCAATGCACGATTTCGGCCGAAAGAGTACGGCATCTGCCGCGAAATTTAGTCGTCGTGTAATTAACGCAGCGCCAAATGTTCTCACCAGGGAGTCATTGACGCTCTCTGATGTTTGAGTAGCCATGGTCAGTGAGGATTTGCTTCCCCTTTTTGACTGACAAACAGTGAGTGGCATGTAAAACAAAAAAGTAACAAAAGCGCATACGGTGCTATGGCGGGGTATTGGGTTAGGATTTCAAACAGCAACAGCCATGCTATTGCTACCCCGGATATGCTCCGGCCTAAGATAGCGTAGGCCTAAACGTCCACCTTGTTTACAGGTAATATTAGCTCAAACTAACTTAAATTACTTACCTTACGTTAAAATTCACTTGCGTGAAATCCACTTGACTAAAAAAGGGAAACGAAACACGTCTGCAATCAACGAGAGTAAAGAACCGACTAAAGTGAAGCTCCACTTTTGCTCGCAGGCTTTCAAGCCTAGAGAGCCCCACCCGATGTTATCGCCTCGCAATGTTTTGTTAGCGATATTTTTTTCCACACCCCCAAGATTGGAGTAATCAACATCTGTATATAAAGGAACGTGGTGGAGTCGGAAAAAGCGAAGATCGTAAAAATGCAAGGCATCAACACCAAGAAAAGAAGCCATTGAAAAGTCGTTACTACCATATAAATAGGCGGGAGAAAGGACTTCAGAAAATGCCAATATAAGAACAGGGGCCAAATATCAAGATATTCTTGTAAGGAAGGAGGAATTGGATTTGAGAGTTTATGCCATTCCGATACTGCCTGCCTGAATCACCACTGAAAATTGATTGGGTGAAAACATCGTCTAATAGCCATTACTTCCTTATGACATGACCACATCATTTCCACAAAATTGTCACGTTTTTAATGTAATTGACAGCGTATAAAATCAATTCTGTGAACACTAGGCATGCATGCGGCTGCATTTACTTGTCAATTGCACGCATTTTCAAGAAAATTGCTCATTCCATACAATACACACGATGGTTGCATTTTTCACAAAATGGCAGAAACGTTGCGCAATGTCCGCAATAAGCAGTTGCACGAATCACGCATAATATGTATACTTTTTTTTGTAAAGGTTGGTTTATGAGATGAACAGCATTGCAATTCCCCATATCTCTTGATTTCTCGAAGTGTTCCTTTAGCACTCCGGGATCCATCGACAGCCTTCTTCAGTTAAACGTATTTCGTATGCAGGAGCATGGAATTTTATGAAATTGTGGATTCATTGTGGATGTAATATTATATTTACTTTCCATATTTGAAAAACATTTTCTTATACAACAGTGTACAAGTTTCGAAAGTTCAGATTTCACAAAATAAATATTGCGAAGCTGCGTGCGATACTTCGTGTCTCAGGTAAAAAATGTATTTTGCACGCAGAGAACGTCTCGACATCCTGTGGAGAAATATGCATGCATGATGAGACAGCAACTGCGGGAGTCCTGGAACCATGCGTGGGTGACAACGGACAAGTACCTTCATACCAAGTATGCCCTCAGAAAACTTTCTCACATGGAAGAAGAAAATTATTTATTTTTCTCATAGCAGTCATAGCAGTACTGGAAAGAAAGGCGTCAAGAAAGGCCCAAAAGAACTGTCGAAATTTTCCAAGCGTAAAAAGAGAGAACAATTTGAGCCATTCAAGTGGAATTTACAGGGTATCACGTACAAAATATGTGCGAAGACGCTTCAGAAAATTAGTTTTAGACTATTTTTCTATAACCTGATAGTGGGAGTCCACTACGAGAAGTCTTTCATGTCGGTATAACCTCCCTTTAATTTGACGCACATATGCTACTTGCGACTCAGCTTTCGAATAGTATCGGCACCTTTGGGTGTATGTTTAGGTATGTAATTGTAAAATGGGTGGTTTTCAATTGTAGCAATGTCTGTGGAACATCCGGGGCAGTCCGACGGACGCGATCGAGATCCTCTTGACTCCGGAGGATTTCGGGAATTTCTCGAACAGAAGCCTGCTATTGAGAGTTGGCCATGGATACAAAGTTGATTTCCCACTCGGAAATGACGAAACCATACTTCATACATTTGAAGGCCCTGTCGAGGAAAATACTACAGTCTTGGTGGAGTACGAAGATGCGTGGGTCGATGTGCTTACCCGTAAGGAGATCTACCCTTTCAAAGTCTTCTATAACGTCAAAAGTAAAGCAGGTGTGTTTTCTTTGTTTACTTTCTGGTCTTTCTCCGTTTTATTTTTTCCTGATAATTTCCATATATGATGGGCCCTTCTTAATTCTCCATATTCATAAATTTTAGTCTTCCAATCTGATATTGTGCATCTTCTATTATGAAAGTCATTTCTTAACGAGGTTAATCCTAGAATAGTCAGTCGGATCAGATCGATAAGTTCAGCTATCGTCAAGTCTGCTTCCGACAGACTGTCAGAAACGGTGTTGTGCATGGGTTGGTGTAGAATAATCGAAACTCATGTCGAGGAATGGACATTTTGTTCGAAGGCAGTTGGGCGAACGCGGCTATACATCGAAGGATTCATTCGTAGAAGTGTCTAGAGATCGAAGGGTTTAGGTCACGGAAGGCTTACAAAGCCGAAAAAGTACTGGTGTTATTTTCTTCCTTTTTTGGCCGTCTTGATTTATGTGCCTAGTCAGTTGTGTCCTGGCCACGGTCTAGTTACATCCCGATGTACGTTGCACATTTGAACCATGTTAGAAGTGATAAAGTCTCCACAAGGGCAGGATAAGTTTGCGATGCATACATTACCGGTGAAACAAAGTGGGGCACTGAAAATCATTGAGCCTTATAAAGGATGAACACTCTAGGATTTTGATTTTTGCGTTAACCCAATAATTCTACCCCTATAAGGCATTTGGCTTCTAGCTGCATCCAATTTTGATTTCCGTGAAATCTTTGTTCGCTATATATCAGGCCTATGTCAAACGTTGAGCAGGGGCTTAAACTCCAAGAGTCTCTGGAGGTTATCAAGTTACAAAGTAAACCTGTGATATTAATATCCTTCAGGGTCGAATTACTCAGAGGCGCTTTGCGGAGAGAAATACAGTAAATAAATGGTCTCGTGGTTGCCGCCATATGGCTGTGATACAGATGGACCAAAGTCCCCTTCTGCAGTGTACTTAAGGCACGATCCTTCCGAGCCCATCCAAAAATGTCTTTTTTTGAGAGGGATATCCTCTTAATGTTTCTTTTTTTTAATGAATGCAACATACTGGTTTCTTTCATGTTTGACCTTGACGTTTGCGATTGCCCTTTTCCCTACATTTTTATGTTTTGACGAAAATCAATTTTCATGGAAAAGATTCTGCTTCGGGGATATATAATTTCGACAAATTTATTCGATATTTTGAATTTCGTCTATTTGATAAATCGGCCTGTCGAGTTTTAGGCGATGCCACTTTCGATGAATCGGTGTTCGATATTTTGATACACTGGAAATACCTGGAAATGTAGCGGTAGTTTGTTATTTGGGAAGAAATCAGTTCCATGTAGACCATGCCCGCGAACATTATCGAGAAAGAACGAGATTTGCGAAGTTGTGTGCGATACCTTGTGTCTCAGCCAATACATATCTTCTACACGCAGAAAACGTCTCGACATCCTGTGGAGAAATATGCATGCATGATGAGACAGCAACTACGGGAATCCTGGACCCATGCGTTGGTGACAACGGACAAGTACCTCCATACCAAGTATGCCCTAAGAAAACTTTCTCCCATAAAAGAAGAAAAGGATTTATTAATATTGATATTGATAAGCTGTCGCACATTTGCGTCAGCACCTTTGGGTGTATGTTTGGGTATGTAATTGTAAAATCGATGGTTTTCAATTGTAGCAATGTCTCTGGAACATCCGGGGCAGTCCGAAGGAGGTGATCGAGATCCTCTTAACTCCGGAGGATTTCGGGAATTTCTCGGACAGAAGCATACTATTGAGAGTTGGCCATGGATACAAGGATGATTTCCCACTCGGAAATGAGGAAACCATACTTCACGAATTCGATGGCCCTGTCGAGAAAAATACTACAGTGTTGGTGGAGTATGAAGATGCGTGGGTCGATATGCTGACCAGGAAGGAGATCTACCCGTTCAAAGTTTTTTATAGCGTCATAAGCGAAGCAGGTGTGTTTTCTGTTTCATCCCGACAAGTTCAAATTATATCCTTTTTTATATTATCGTACATTGTATTCTCGCATTTTTTGGTCTTCGAATCTGATGTTGTGCATTTCTTGTTGCGCTAGGCATTTTTTTAATTAAATGATCTTGGCCACTAAAAGGGTGTAAATCTTCCCCATCCCTTTGAATTCATTGTTAGGCAAAGAAGAATTGAGAGATCGTCAAAATGCCATAATATTTATACTTTCGCAAAAGTTTTTTTTTTATTTAGACAACATAGCAATTCCATATATCTGTCTCTTTCTTGAAGCATTCTTTACTTTTGCTCTCTGGGATTTATTGACGGCCTCGTTCAGTTAAACGTGTTTGGGAAGTTCGCCGAATGTTGTTCTGAGTGCAAAACCATTGAATTTCATGAGATTGTGGATTCATTATGGATATAATATTATATTTACTTACCATAATTGAAAAACATATTCATATACAACTGTGTACAAGTTTCGAAAGTTCTGGTTTCACAAAATAAATATTGCGAAGCTGCGTGCGCTACTTCGCGTCTCAGGTAAAACATGTATTTTGCACGCAGAGAACGTCTCGACATCCTGTGGAGAAATATGCATGCATGATGAGACAGCAACTGCGGGAGTCCTGGAACCATGCGTGGGTGACAACGGACAAGTACCTCCATACCAAGTATGCCCTAAGAAAACTTTCTCCCATAAAAGAAGAAAAGGATTTATTGATATTTCTTAATGCAGTACATACAGTCCTCAGTGTAGGAAAGGCGTTATGTAAGGCCCAAAAAGAAGTTTGTAAATTTACAGGCTTAAAGTTAGAGAACTTTAAAGAAAACAACAAAATTGAGCTATTCACGTGGAATTTACTGGGTATCACTAACAACATACACACGAAGACGCTTCAGAAAGTATGTGTTGACTTTATTTTTCTATAACTTGATAGTGGGAGTCTACTTCAATAAGTATTTCTTGGCGCTATAACCATCACTTAAATTGACGCATACAGGTATATCCCCACTTGCGATTAAGCTTTCGCACAACATCCATCGAATCATGCGTAGGTGACAACGGACAAGTACCTCCGTACAATATATGCCCTAGCCGTTTTTTCAATAAGACACTTCTTGGAAGAGGAGACTCTGGATGTGCCCATTACATAGAGTCCTTTCAGTTTCGTGAAGTGTATCTATTTGATCTGTGACGATATGTTTTGAGAAGAGGCCACTTTTTGTATTGTAGTGGTTAATGATCTTGCAATGCTCGTCGTTCTTGAGGTGTCAATTTACGTGAATTCACTTCGCCACTTCACTAGTCAGATGGTCACGCTCAGAATCACGTGACGATTTGAAACCACAGAGAGGCCAATGGACTTGTGCAATTTTGTTAAAGGCATGCCACTGTATTACCATGTCACACGACCCGTGGAATGCTATTAAGAACCGTTGCTCTGAGAATTACTTCTTATTTCGTATGGCAACATTAAAATAAAAACAATAGGCTTCCTTTACTATTGCATTTTGAAAGCCATGCCACTGCATTTGGTATGACTAGGTGGATCTCACTTGTACCTCCAAAGAGTGAATAGGGCCAATTTTCTATATTGTTTCGCATAGTTTTTATTTCACCACAATCACAGTTTGTTGAGTCCTTGATATTGCACTTGTGGAAGAGATCTGCGCACATTCCGTGCGTTGTTCCGAGGCGATTGAGTGAGGTCTAATTGCATCAAGGAAGGGAGAAACTGGGCACTTACTTCATTGGATCTTGAACAAGAGCTTAGTTGGGCACATCGCAGGCGGTTCACCATTCGCGCCAACTGGTCATGGTGTCCTTTCTTTGAGCCAGTATGGTCAAAGCGTGGGTCCAGAATGATGTCCTGAACTTGAGTCAGGTGTGCGGGAGTAATACGAGGTCTTAGTGAAGCGGTACGTCCGAGTTCGCCGAGACCTTGTACTACCGGACGACGGCATCGTCGCACCTGATGTTGGCCGGCGCGATTGTGCTTAGCACCGGCAGCCAAGAGAGTGGCGTGGATATACAAGTGCTCCTAACCATTCCGAGTGCGGCATTGATTTCCGTATCGACAAGCTTGGTATGGGAACTGTTGCACCATACTGGGTCACAGTATTCTGCTGTTGAGAGGACTAGGGCCTGCATCGATTTTCGAAGCGTGCGAGCGTCACATCCACACGATGTTCCTACGAGCTTCTGGATTATGTTGACTCTGGACTTAGTCTTCTTTTTTGTTGGGTATAGGTGGCGGCAATAGTCGAGTGTCCGATCAAGTGTCACACCCAGGTAGCATGGTTTCTGGTCGTGTACTAGACGCACACCACAGAAGTCTACTTTAAGCGCATTTGCGGCCTCGGCGTTGTTGAGATTGAAGGATCAAACGGAGGTTTTCTAAGCGTTGGATTTAAGGCGCCACGTTTTCAAATATTTATCGAGCGTCCTGAGATCCTTCGTCAGAACCTTCCTTGTCGCTTCGAGGGATTTTGCTTGCGTTGCCAGCGCTATGTCATCTGCATTGGTGAATTTGCGAGAGGTGGTCGTTGGAAGGTCGCTTGTATAGAGATTCCGAAGTGCTGGCGCTAGTACGAATCCATGGGGGAGGCCGTTGTTCTGGCTCCTGCTGTTGCTGGCAGTATCTCCAAGGTGTACGGAGAAACACCGGTTGCTGAGCATTTTGGTGATGAGCCTGATAGTTGCTTGGCATTAGAGAGCGGCTGACAGCTTTAACAAGAGACCTTTGCGCCACACCGTATCGTATGCAGCAGAAAGATCATTGAATGCTGTTCATGTGGAGTATTAAAGCCCTACATCAGAGATGCTCAAACGATCACCAGCAAGACCTTTACTGTTTTAAAATGCATTCCTTGACGAAGATGATTTCTCCAAACATTTTCAGAAGCCCATCATGAATCCAGGCTCACCTTCGTTCGGCAAGCGTATCATTAAGTAGTCTGCATCATAAAAAAATCACCCATCATTTCATGAAGCAGGACACAGAGCAGCTATTAGTGGGAACCCTTTTTTTCTTAATTAGCTGGGGCATATATTAGAAAGTTGATGATAAGTTTATGGGATTGTGCGATGCATAAGCCTACAGTGCACCGATGTCGTTGCCGCACCGCCATGGCCTTGAAATAAAGCCTCAAGTTCTAACTTACTGAAGGGCCTCATTTATGATTTCACCAATAGTGCAACGAAATTCCCCGTAAAAAAAGGAATTTTTTCGCACAATATGCACAGCAAAAGTCGGAGCAAGTTGGCTGGTTCCGTGAGTGATGGGATTCGCTCTACCACAGATTTAAAATGTCACAGCTAAAATGTCAGACTTAGGCATACATGTCTGTAACCGCTGCCAATGTTCTGGCGGTATTTCATAGTGTTCCCTTCTGTAGAAGTCGTTTGTTGGAAAGCTGCTTTTTCCACATATGTTTTGGATTACCAAAGATTATATTATTGTGACTTTTTGGTTAATAAATGAATTATTTGAAACAAAATTGATATCATTCCATATGAATTTTAATTTGTAGCAATGTCTGTGGAACATCCGGGGCAGTCCGACGGACGTGATCGAGATCCTCTTAACTCCGGAGGATTTCGGGAATTTCACGGAAAGGAGCTTGGTATTAAGAGTTGGCTATGGATACAAAGATGATTTCCCACTCGGAAATGAGGAAACCATTCTTCGTACATTTGACAGCCCTGTCAAGGAAAATACAACAGTTTTGGTGGAGTATGAAGATGCGTGGGTTGATTTGTTGACCCGTAAGGAGATCTATCCCTTCAGAGTCTTCTATACTGTCAGAAACGAAACAGGTCTGGATTTCCTCTTTTTATGTTTTCTCTCGTGACAAGGTATTGTTATGTGAACCGTAGTGGAATATAAACTCAGTTCTTTCCCAAGGAATTTAAGATACTTGCTACTAATGATTCCTGCATACCCAGGAAAAGGATGAGGTAAAGTACCGTTTTGCAGAGAACAAAGTATTCTGCCAAACCTTCCGCAGCTTCGAAATGGTTAGAAGAGATCAAGATCACTCCTACTTCTTAAATATGAGAGCGGATTCCTTCTTACCGAGGAAGAAGCCATACTACGCCGTTGGAGTAACTTTTTCCAACGAACTGAGTGTCGGAGCTGGAGAGCCTCCTGAGGTTCATCTCATGGCCGATAGTAGCAAATCTCTGGCTGAAGTCATTGAGGGAATCAGGTATCTGAAATCTGGGATGGCTCCAGGTATTTGAGAAATTTGGTCTAAGACGCTGAAAGCCTTGGGAATATCCAGGAATGTCCAGGAATATCCTGGCTAACCCATGTTTATCGAACTTGGGTTAGAACTGTGGCTTCGGACCGATTTCCTTCCGGCTGATTTCATCAAGAAGGGAAATTTCGAATTTTTAGATTTACATTAATTAGGCCATTGCCTGATGCTTCGTATATCAGAGTAATATTAATTCCCTCTTACAGAGAACGTTTCGAGTACTACAGACGATGGTCCTACAACGACAGAGTTTCTGAGCACCATTCCGGATACATCGTGTGAAGGACTATGCATGCATGATGAGACAGCGACTACGGGAATCCTGGAGCCGTGTGTGGATGACAACGGACTCGTACCTAAATACCAAGTCTGTCCTAAGAATACTTTCCCACATAAAAGAAGGGCGTGCTAGTTTATTTATCATGGGGGTTGGTAGGAATATTAATAACATATTCCAAATGGTCATAAGTTTCTAAATATGACTGGAGAGAGAAGACCATATGTGCTACTGGTATGAAATACGCATGGTGTCGCATGCAGATATATGTAGATGAATTGTTTTTTGTGTGGATGACAACGGACGCGTACCTCAATATCAAGTTATACTCTTTGGGATTGGTGGAAAATGTAGGAACGTTATCCTGGTTTTTCCAATGAGTTGATTGTCCCCCCCCCCCAAAAAAAAAAAAAAAAAAAAAGATGCATGGACCTATAGATCCAGTGGTTAGAAATATACAGGTAGTCACATCCAACGGTTGGCGGTCATTTTGACTATTCAATAAAATACCATCGTAACAACTTTTTCCCTCAAAAAAAAAAAATTGAAGTATCAAATCCGTGAGCTTTTGTGAGCAACCTGAATGGTTGCTCCACGAGGTGATGGGTATTTGCTTCACTACTGGCAGTATTCGGTTCATTGTTAAGTACCATACTGTCATTGTTATCTTTCACTGAAATAACCAGAAATACCTAAGATAAAGTAATAACAAAAAATACCTGTGATAAATAAATTACCAGAATGCAGTGAGGTAATGCATTTTTTTTCCTTGGCATTATACGTCCAAAGAAAGGTTTGGTGAAGCCATTGTGAAAGACACCACACATCGCATTCAAAGGTCGTCCTGAGTCATTCACCTAAAGGCAAATACTGACACCCTTTTTTTTTCAAGTTTGCGCCATGTGGTTTACCCTGCCCCTTTGGCTAATGAAAGGTGGTCTGTGATAACAACTTCTAGTTTTAAAAATCAGACAGTAAAAATCATAGCATACAAATTTCAACCCGTAGCAATGCCTATGGAACATCCGGGGCAGTCCGACGGATGTGATCGAGATCCTCTTAACTCCGGAGGATTTCGGGAATTTCACGGAAATGAGCTTGGTATTAAGAGTTGGCTATGGATACAAAGATGATTTCCCAATCGGAAGTGACGAAACCATTCTGGAAACGTTCGAAGGCCCTGTTGAGAAAAATACGACGGTATTGGTGGAGCGTGAAGATGCGTGGGTTCACATGCTGACTCGTGAGAAGATCTATCCCTTCAGGGTCTTCTATACGATCAAAACCGAAACAGGTCTGTTTCCCCATTATTTTTTCTGTTTTCTCTCCAGACAAGGTAATGTTATGAGAATTGTAGAGGAAAATTGGGAGTTGTCATTTCCTGACGACTTAGGGAATGTGAGCAGGAAGTAACTTATTTCCGAATAAATTTTTAATTACTACCCGATCTTACGTTTTTACCTCATCTGATGACGTTGTGCTTTCTCCGAAATCATTACAGGGTGTCTCAAGAAATGCATTCACACTTTAATAATAAAAAATACATGTTAAGTAATTCAGAGAGGTACCGTGTTCAGTGTGTGGAGAAGCAAGGGTTTGAATTGCATGGTTCACTACCACAGATGTTCAAATTCTTCACTGTTAGCGTCCAGTCACTGTTGACAACATTGTGCATTACCTTACTGGCAATTTTCTGGGAGACCATCCACTGTACCATCAGCATCAATCTTATCATGGATTCTTGAAAGTTCTAGTAAATTATGGTGGCATAGTTGCAATTTCATTTAGCCACCTCCTTTGAACTTCATGTGTATTCTCTGGTTTCCAGAATCACTTCAAAATCAACTTACATTGCTCTAAGGTCAAATGAGCTTGCGTCATCTGGCGTGACGCACTTTTTAGTGGGAAAAAAATGCCTGATGACACGCGATCATTCCATTACACATTGTCATTTGTTTGGTACCGTATATGTCACACTGAACATCGCCCCTCTTGAAATTATTAAATACATACTCTTGATTCAACTGTTTATACATTTTTTTGGACACCTTGTATATATCTCTCTGATCTGAGAGTAGAAGGTTTGAAAATTCATATCGCAATATACAGGATCATTTTATGCATTTGGACACCTTGCATTACTGGCGTATTTTCATTCTGTATACAGAGAACGTTTCGAGTACTACAGACGATGGTCCTACAACGACAGATTTTCTGAGCACTATTCCGGATACATCGTGTGAAGGACTATGCATGTATGATGAGACAGCAACTACGGGAATCTTGGAACCATGTGTGGATGACAACGGACTCGTACCCCAATACCAAGTATGTACCAAGAAAACTTTCTCGCATGAATGAAAAGAAAGCGCACTTGTTTATTTCCCTTCTCTTGGGGGTTGGTGGAGAAGAGGGACAGTATTCCAGCTGTCTGGACAAGTTTCTAAATATTTATGCCTGTGGAGAGAATACCACTTGAGCTTTATGACGAAAAAATATTGAGGCTGTCTCAACCAATTTGTGAGGGCACTCAAACAGTATGTCACCCAAGCAAATTCTTATTTTAAAAAGGTATCTTTTTAGATATTGATGATATGCGCTGCTGATGAATGTGTTCCTAATCTGGCAGCATCGATTATAGGCATGCATTGACAGGTCAGTTTGCAAAATGACTTTCTTTATTATATTTAACTTCGCAAAGCAACAACAGGTGATTCGTTAATTTTATGTGTCAAAGCAATGTAGCTGAAAGATGTGCACAAGCTATTGTTTGTCTGTGTAAGAAAATTCTTTTTTCTTGATAGAAGCTGTGTATAAATAGTGGAAAACCTTCAAAATTGCGTTTTGTGAATATTACGGATACTCTTCGTCCGTGTTATCACCATCACTGATGACACTGTAACACAGGTGTATGTGTTCGTGACCGAAAAGTGGGGCATCACAGAAGAGGACTTTGTTTGTGTAACTCGGTATTCCGCTGGGTCTGTCCATATCATTGTGCTTGATCATTTAGCATATCGACCATCATGCGCACGATGGGTACCAAGGCAGTTCTCCCCAAATCAAAGCGTAATTTGGATGGATAATATCTCCCTTACCTCGAGCTTTATAATATAGAGTGAAACTGGAATCATCGGAAAGAAAAAACCCAAAGAGTTTCGGACTACGCACTTTGCTTTTGGGGATGGATTGGGACAGTATTTTGAGGCATGTCGATTTTAACCCTTATACGCTCAACGCGCCGATCCATCGGCGCGTCAGGTAATGGCTAGAACACTCAGGCGGCCGATCTATCGGCTCCGTCTAAGTCATGCTCTTTTAGTTATATAAATGTCTCAAAGTTTGTTTTTGTTGTTTAGTTACATAAATGGCTCAAAATGCTTACCTAAGGACAGGTGCTAACTGCAAAATGTACGAATGCAGTTTTACATAATGTGATGTAGTTCCGAACCAGAGAGCTCTACATGCATAAAACTGATATCAAAGTTTACAGAAAAATATTCTCTTTCTTACAGACTTGGTGACAAGAAAAGAAGACATTTTTTATTTTTTTGCCTAAATTATGTAAATTTTTAATTTCTATATTTAATTCTTTCAGTTTTTATTCTTATTTTTCAAATTATTTATAGTGTTAGCACTTGTAGGCTATTTTTGTTTAAATCTGCTGTGTATAGTGAATAAGTGTGATTTGTTTCATATGTCTTTAACCAAAATTGAATTTTTGGTGAATTTTTGAAGTGAGACTTGTAAATTGAGCCAAATTCGCCTGAGTGTTTTTTTAGGCCAGGTACTTGGAAAATAGGCTGAGTGCGAAAGGGTTAATCATTGTGTAATGTCTGAAGCCAGACACCATAGTCATGCAGTATATAGTTCTACTCCAACGCTTTGGTGACGCAATCCGCACAAAATGCCCTGGACATGGGCATGAAGGGATGATCCTTCTGCATCACAATGCATGCGGTCCCAAGCGACATCGTTTTATCCCACCCGCTTATGCAATTATGTACTCAGGTGGGACAAGTGTCTTTATATACGAGGTGATTGAGTGGAAATATGAACCTCGAGAATAACCACTTCCCCTCACGCAATTCTCTGTATTTCATATTGTGCATTATTTATGTATGTGTGCCCCTCGTATTTACGTGTAGGGAATTTTTTTTGGACAATGCATGGAAATACCAGCGTAACATCTCATTCCCACTCGATGTCAAAATAGCGAGTCAGTGAGAGCAACCAAGATGGTTGTTGCACGAGCGATGCAGCTCCCCCTCCTCTCCCCAGATCAGCAAAGCAAGCAGACAGACACGCGTGTTCAACTCACATGATGAGGAAAAGCAATATCTGAACGACCACTTTCGAAAATTTACTTGGAAAGCCACCTACTCCTGTCCCCCCCAGCCATATTTGTGCGATGTCTCGGGCGTTCTGCCTGTAGACGTAGTTAGTTGGAAATATTATTTTTTGCAAGGCAATGGTATTTTCAGGAGCTTGGAAAAATAAGAACATGATTTTGGCATGAGCAAGATGGGAGACCGGATGGGATAATTGGGATATTTTAGAAATTAATAATCACCTAAAAACAAACTGAAATTTAAAAAAAAATACGTTTTTCATTCTGTAGCAATGCCTGTGGAACATCCGGGGCAGTCCGACGGACACGATCGAGATCCTCTTAACTCCGGAGGATTTTGGGAATTTCACGGAAAGGAGCTTGTTATTGAGAGTTGGCTATGGATACAAGGATGATTTCCCAATCGGAAATGACGAAACCATTCTGGAAACGTTCGAAGGCCCTGTCGAGGAGAATACGACGGTATTGGTGGAGCGTGAAGATGCGTGGGTTCACATGCTGACTCGTGTGAAGATCTATCCCTTCAAAGTTTTCTATACCATTAGAAGCGATACAGGTTCGTCTCCTCCCTGTTTCTACGCAAGATCTTGTCTTTCCTAAAGTATTGTCATACGAATCGGATATAAGCGATGTAGAGCAATATAAGCGTATGCTTTCCCGAGGCGACTTAAGACATCGCTACTTACGTCTTCGCATGAGAAGGGACATTTCAGTTATAATCTCTTTTTCAATTCCCAGCTTCATAGTGCCCACCAAGTTCATTCCGAACCGTTCAATCCCTACTCTAACAACTCCATTATCAAAGCGACCCCTTCCTCATGCCCCTGTTCCTGTCTTTCATCAGAGAGGACGTCATGATCATGCGAGGATATAATGATGTAATAGACCCCTTTGCACTTGGTAGAATTTTTTTTTACAGGAACGCAACAGCGGTTGCTTATACGCATGCAGCGAACTCCCGGCCGCTGTCAATCGCTCCTTACCGGCCGAGTTAGATTTAATCGGTGATCGGTTAGTGCTTTTGGAGGTAAGAGTTTGAACATTTTATATCGAAAGATAGCGCTGGAACTCTCGGCCTTGGCATTAAATGTCGGCCTTTTGCCTACAAAATTAGCACCATAAAGAGCATAGATGGCTTAGGAACCGCCTCAAAGTCTTATATTTATCTATTTCTATGAAGGAGCCATGCAACCTCTTGAATCCCGTGCAATATAAAGTCTTTTTATTCCATTGAAGCCCAGATCCAGTTGGGAGAATTAATATCCAGCAGCCTGGAAACTGATATATTCATGTCACAGTGTGTTAGCGTGTAATGAGAATGTACCGTGCTCGGTAGCTATTCTGGAATAACATATATTTCTTTACCCTCCAAAATGATAAAGTGGAACTTAATACCGGCGTTCTCTCAATTCAACTGGAGGATTAATGCCATATATCGTATATATAAAAGTGCAGAACACCCACCATGGAAACAAAATGATCAGTTTCAAATTCAGATGTGGTAGTATTGAGAGGCTCCCTAAATTATTACTTACATCCTGTATCTGGAGAGGATTTCCATTCCCGAACAATGATCAACGATCATTGCACCTTCTTTGAGAAACTGGAATCATCCTCATCGCATATATCGTAAGGTGAATAACGCATAAAATTTTCGCCAACTACTATAACGGTCAAATATATACGAGGCGCGTCCAGAAAGTAAGAACCGGTTGGGTGTAAAAAGTTTTTAAGGAATTAAAAAAAAAAATCTCTATTGCAAATGTTGGTACTTACATTAAACTACTTCTTCACATAGTCGCCATGTAAATTAAGGCACTTATCATACCGTTGGACCAGCTTTTCTATGCCTTCATTGAAGAAGGTCGCCGCCAAGCCTTTCAGCCAGTCCTGCACAACGTCTTTGATCTCTTGGCCACTCTTCAGACGCTGGCCACCCAAAAATTTATTGAGGTGGAAAAACAAGTGATAATCAGTCGGTGCAAGGTCGGGACTTTATGGAGGATGCTGGAAAGTTTCCCACTTGAACTGTTCAAGTAATGCACATGTCCGGGCGGCGGCGTGCGGTCGCGCATTGTCGTGCAAAAAACATACTCCACTTGTCAGTAGGCCTCTTCGTCGGTTCTGAATTGCCTGCCGTAGCTTCTTTAAAGTTTCGCAGTACGACTCGGCATTAATTGTTGTCCCTTTTTGCATGAATTCCACGAGAAGGACGCCTTTGCGGTCCCAGAAGACTGTAGCCATGATTTTCCGCGCCGACAGCTGCTCCCTGAACTTTTTCTGCTTTGGGGACCCAGTATGCCGCCACTGTAAGGACTGCTGCTTGCTTTCTGGTGTGATGTAGGCAATCCACGTTTCATCGCCAGTGACAATGTGGTCGAGAAACTCATCGCCTTCTTTGTGATAACGATCCAAAAAGGTCAATGCAGCCGCCATGCCTTTTTCTTTGTGGTCGTCCGTCAACATTTTTGGCACCCATCTGGCGCAAAGTTTCTTGTAAAGGAGGTGCTCCGTAACAATTTCGTGGATCGAGACACATGTGGAAATTGTTCGTGTAATTCAGAAATTGTGAATCTCCTGTTTTTCCGAATTTTTGCATTCACGTTTTCTTTCAAATCATCCTTAACCAAAGACGGGCGCCCACTTCGTTCCTCGTCATGCACATTAGACCTGCCTTCTTTGAACAACCGACACCATTTTCTCACATTCCCTTCGTTCATTGCACCTTCACCATACACTTCAACAATCTGTCTGTGAATTTCCGCCGGACGAAAATTTTTAGCGTTTAAAAATCGTACCACCGATCGCACTTCACAAGTGGCAGGATTTTCGATTTTCGCATTCATCTTCAACTACCATAGCAAATGGGGAAAAAATGATGACACTGTACTACGATATACAGGTGTTCACCTTGACATAGAGAAGACGACTGACCTTCGCAGGAACTGCGCTCGTCACCTGCGCGGCCGCTATGCGCAATCTGTTCTTACTTTCTGGACGCGCCTCGTATTTACATTCGAGAAAAATCCCTGTAAAGAAAATAAGAGAGGAATTAAAATGTAACCAAGAAGCAGTATTTATAGAAATCACACGGAGACAGAAAAAGGTCTTATCTTTTAGATTCTGAGGCTATCAGCCCCAGAAACTAAAAGAAGTAAGGCGGCCTCTTTGTAGACAACGCTTTACTGGGAATGCATGGTTTCATCCATGGATGCGCGGGAATAGGCAAAAGTGTGAGGTCAGTTTCCATTTCCATTTCGATTGTGAAGACACCACTGATAAATAATTTCTTCACCGCCAATCTCCAATAAAAGGAAAACATTTAAAATCATCTGAAAGAAGTCATCCAAATTTCTTGAACAATGCAAAACTAAGAAATTCGCAATAAATAAAATTCCAGGAATTCCACATCTTTAAAAAAAAATTGATAAAACAACTCTTTGTAATGCGATCAGAAATTCCACCAAAGAGTTCAGAGTAAAGCCAGGAAGCAAAGCCATCTTAATATCTTAGAGATTCCCGTTTTGTATTTCAATCAAACGAGATCATTTTTCCATATTTTCTAGTTTCAACATGCAACGTAACGATGACACCAACAATCACTGTCCCTGTAACCGACACAAGCACCACAGATGGGATCACGACGGACTCCAGCGCTACAGAAAACGGGATCACAACGGATTCTCCACCCAGCACGACAGATTCAAGCGCGACTGAAGATGGAACAACGACGACAGATTCTCCACACAGCACGACAGAAACAAGTGCAACAGAAGACGGGATTACGACGGACTCAAGCGCTACGGAAGACGGTATCACAACGACAGATTTTCTACACAGCACGACAGATTCAAGCGCGACTGAAGAAGGAACCACGACGACAGATTCTCCACACAGCACGACAGAAACAAGTGCAACAGAAGATGGGATCACGACGACAGATTCTTTTCCCAGTACGACGGACTCGAGCGCTACAGATGGTGGGATCACGACGACAGGTTCTCCACCCAGCACGACAGAAACAAGTGCAACTGAAGATGAAACCACGACGACAGATTCTCCACACAGCACGACAGAATCAAGTGCAACAGAAGATGGGATCACGACGACAGATTTTCCACACAGCACGACAGATTCAAGCGCGACTGAAGATGGAATCACGACAACAGATTCTTTTCCCAGTACGACGGACTCGAGCGCTACAGATGGTGGGATCACGACTACAGATTCTCTACACAGCACGACAGAAACAAGTGCAACTGAAGATGAAACCACGACGACAGATTCTCCATACAGCACGACAGAATCAAGTGCAACAGAAGATGGGATCACGACGACAGATTTTCCACACAGCACGACAGATTCAAGCGCGACTGAAGATGGAATCACGACAACAGATTCTTTTCCCAGTACGACGGACTCGAGCGCTACAGATGGTGGGATCACGACGACAGGTTCTCCACCCAGCACGACCGAAACAAGTGCAACTGAAGATGAAACCACGACGACAGATTTTCCACACAGCACGACAGATTCAAGCGCGACTGAAGAAGGAACCACGACGACAGATTCTCCACACAGCACGACAGAAACAAGTGCAACAGAAGATGGGATTACGACGGACTCAAGCGCTACGGAAGACGGTATCACAACGACAGATTTTCCACACAGCACGACAGATTCAAGCGCGACTGAAGATGGAATCACGACAACAGATTCTTTTCCCAGTACGACGGACTCGAGCGCTACAGATGGTGGGATCACGACGACAGGTTCTCCACCCAGCACGACCGAAACAAGTGCAACTGAAGATGAAACCACGACGACAGATTTTCCACACAGCACGACAGATTCAAGCGCGACTGAAGAAGGAACCACGACGACAGATTCTCCACACAGCACGACAGAAACAAGTGCAACAGAAGATGGGATTACGACGGACTCAAGCGCTACGGAAGACGGTATCACAACGACAGATTTTCCACACAGCACGACAGATTCAAGCGCGACTGAAGAAGGAACCACGACGACAGATTCTCCACACAGCACGACAGAAACAAGTGCAACAGAAGATGGGATCACGACGACAGATTTTCCACACAGCACGACAGATTCAAGCGCGACTGAAGATGGAACCACGACGACAGATTCTCCGCCCAGCACGACAGAAACAAGTGCAACAGATAATTGGACAACGACGCAAATGTCTGAACTCACAACTGAAGAGATTGATTGTGACGACTCAAGTGACCGAGGTGAATGCTTGTATATATCCACATTCTATGCACTTTTTACTTTAAAGTGTATTGGGTGGTGAAAAACTGTGAACTGTTTTTTTTGCCACGGTGGGCCACTAGCAACTAGGCTCATATGAAATGTTACACTTTTTTTGTGCAAATTATGGAAATATTCTTGTAAATGCAGCTGTGAATGGAATCTTGCGAGTGGACCCATGTCCACTCGCAAGCTGTCCGTCCGTAGCAGAGTGGCATGTTGATATTGGGGATTGAAATTCGTCGATGGAAACTCAGCAGCTCTGTGATGTTGATTTTCATTCGAACCAGCAAATGAAACCCCGCTCTGATATGCGCGATATTGTACCTGGCATAGGCATATCTCACGTAACACAAGACATCCAACATATGTCCGCAGTATGCCCTCATGATCTGAGGATATTCTACGGAACTAAGTCCTAGTATATCAATCTATGTCTTGTGTTACCTGGGCTAGGGCGATGGTTCAAATTGAATTTCCTCATTTTTTACCTAGTCTTGTCTCGAACTTGTTGAATTGTATCACAGTTGTTGCTGGCTATGTGAGACGGTTGCTTTTGACCTTATGACAAGCGGGAATCCGTTTGTTTCACTCGACGACGAGTCTGCTGAAGCTGTCGTGTTCATGTATCTGTCATGAGAATGGCCGGAAGATTGGATGGCAGGAGAGGACGAAAGAAAGCCAGGGGACGGTCGGGAATTGAACCCGGGCCTCCTGATTGCCGGTCAGGTGTGCTACCACTACACCACCGAACCCGTTCAATCGTGCCTCTCAATGCCATCCTTATCATTACATATCTATGGCAATAGTGTGCAAGTCTCATCGGTGACCCCATTCACGAAAACAAATAGGAAATCTCTGCGGATAGTCCATTGACGCATTGGAATTCACCATACTAGCGTGCCACTCATTTTCTGAAGCGCCGCGCTCACCCCCTCGATAACAGATTAGTCATTAGAGATTTTCAGGAGCGTGGGGACTGCACACTATTATTGGTAGCGTTTTGCATCTTCTAAATTTCTGGCGCCGCTTTGGGGCAATAAATGAAATCGCATGTTTTTAAATCATCACTCGTACGTTCAGGAATGCAGGATGTGGTTTAGCATCAGGTGTTTTGATGCTTTATGCAATGTATTCCTTTTTTCAGGAGAAATGGTGACATCGAAAGATGCATCTAGATTGCTTTTGACCGCTGTATTGTTAGCGATGAACTTCGCTGGATGAAGACATCGCCTACGGTATTCCTATCTTCAGATCAACCACGTTATTTTCAATCTGACCTATCTGTGATTCCGAAAAAAGTAACTCATGGTACATGAAATAAAGAAGCCAATTTCCAGTATGGTTTCGGCCATATGGCGGGTTCCTGGAAAGAATGGTCACCCGTGCATCTGCTTTTATTCATTTTCATTCTTCCAGTCACGAAACGCACCTTCAGTAAACAAATTCTAAGGGTGAAGACTAGTCTTCAGCATAAAATTTTCTGAGGATGTAGTTGGGAAGTATTTGCTGTTCGAAAACTTGAATGCATCGCCAGATTTTATGTGAAAATGTACTCTCAGGACATATTTACATAGCTTACATGAATTTGAGACTATCCTAATAGTAGGATTGTTGCACATCTGTCCCAGAAAATATTTATTACTATCTCCCTTACTGAAATTCTCCTTTCATGCCTCGAAATCATGTTCTATCCCTGATTATGAAGGAATTCAATTAAACTTGCGATATACGTCTACCCTTTGCCAGACATTATGACTCGTTCCTCTTCTCTCAATTTTTAAAAAAATATTTTACATTATGTGTGAAATTTGAATTTAACAGTCACCTTTTCCATCTACAGGATATACGTAATGCCGATTGATATTACTAACGCTCATTGGCAACAAGTAGTATTGCAAAACAAGTCCGCTCAACAGGATAACTAGTTTCCTTCAGCCATCATCACTTCCGTCAACACCAAGTACCACAAAGTTCAGGATGTACAATTGCTGACCCGAAAATATTCTCGTTGTCGACTGACATCCAGTTTCGTAATCTGAATAAGACCATAGTAAAAGACGTTTGGAATTAGTTACATCCCTATAGTCAAATAAAATGACATAGCTTTCGCATAGTTGGATGTGGTTAACATAACGAGGAACATTCGATCAGACAAGACTAGAGCGAGTTATTGATATGATGGGAGCTGGGGCTGGTGTTGCCAAGATACCGAGTGATCCATCAACTGTTACACTAAGTATTAACCCACGGGTTGCTATTTGTGAGCACGATAATAAACTTTCGTTGCCTTCTCGATCAAATATCATTTTATTCATCACCGGCACAACCTATCTCGGAAGGTCTAAGATTTTGGTTAATTATTTAGCTATCTTTAAATTAGAAACTGCACTTTTCCAACGATGTGGCGATTCATGTGTCCGCAACTTTACGTGCCAAAACCCAAACGTATGAGCAATGATATGGGATTATATATTCAGCAACCCGATTGCTTCTTAAATGCAAGAGGCAGGATATCAGTTCTTTGAATCAATGTCCTCTTCAGATAGGAATAGTAATTTTTTCCCATTATGGATTCGAACTCCAAAACTCCCTTTCAGCTTGATGACTGGCATTCCTGCAGGTGTGTACACACAAAGTATGCGTATGCGGATGGCTAAATAATGTGGGATTTTCCACTCACCATCTCTCGTTCGTTTTCATGACGTGGCTTTCAACACCAGATAATACGCATTTAATTGTCTCCGTATAAACTTTCAGTTGTAGCCATTAAAAAATAAACATTCGGATAGCGTCATATCACGTGAAAACTCTGGAATCTCGATTTGCACGTCTCTACTTACGAATATCTAGAGCCTCTCACTGCTAGTCGAGTGGCAGAGGCACGATATCTGAAAGGAATATAGAGAGAGTAAATATGACAGGTTGCTTGCCCCGGTCGCACGACCTTCCTCACGCCTAGTGGAACGCCAGCGCTCTCTTCGATAACGGTGCGTTGTTTTCACAGCTTTCGCTGCGATAGGGCGTATGGATGCTCGGCAATGCCAAGTGCCCCCTGCTCACCAATTCACACCACGTTCGACGATATCTTTCCTTGGAGTGAAAGTAACTGCATTTTGTCAATGGTCATCCAGATAAGGAAAAATTTTACAAGGAAAACATGGAATAGATTTAGGGAGCCAATGAATAAACGGGAGATTACAAAACAAATGACCTTGTAGATTGTAACAGATCGCATGCACAAATTGGAGCGGAGTCCCCCCCGAGACAAAAGCCATGCCGAAACAGATTTTTTGTTGTTCGTTCTAAACGTTGATGCGACTTGATTTTCCGTTAATGCTCAGAAGGAAATTTTGGTTACCCTTTACTGAGAAGAAGTGTGAGAGTTGTAAATCCGGTTACGTAATTTATCACGTCACTAGCGGTTGTACTAGTAAATCTCGTATGGCGTAAAAGACCTGGAATCCCTCTTTCTGCTGTTTTACCGGGAGCGCGATATGGATTTAAATTTCCACTGATCAGGAATAATTGACGATCACATGACTTTCGATGCAATGTCGCCCGATATCCGACGTCTGTCGGAAGAGTTCGCCTTGCCGATTAAATGAAATTGAAGAAGCGACGTCCATCGCTTCCTCAATTTCACTTTATCGATAAGGCGAACATAGGGATTTCTCCCTATCTGTTGCCGAAGTCCAGCTGTGCTGTGCATAGAAATTCCCCGTGCAAATCAATTCAGTTGAAGTTACGAACAAGTGATAATACGAGGAGTCCATAAATTACTGAAGGGGTTTACAAAATTAATTTATTGAAAATTATTGGGAAAAAAATAATCAGGTTTGCAGCAGACAGTAATTACACACTGCAAGTTTTTTTTTTACTGTTCAAACTTACCCTTAGTAAGCTTCAATATGGATACCGTTTATAGCTTTGCCAGGCGAAATTCAGTCTCTGCCCAGGCTTTCTCAAGCATTTCCAGTGTGATTGTTGAAGCTACATCTCTTATTCTCTCTTTTAAAACATAAAAACTTGTTACTTTCATCTTGCACACGATGTCATTTTTTTAAATCCCAAATAAATTCCATAGGAGTCATATCTCGTGACTGTGATGGCCATGGGATTCACCCTTCTCTTTTGTAGAATACTCCGTTTCTTGAAACTGCATACACCATCTTCGATTTGTCCTGGAGATGCTTACACATTTTTGTTTTGAGTCAGCGTTGAACAAGGACCATTGGGTTTCAATTCCAAAAAGCACAAAACGCATTCAGCTTTTTATTGCATGGCAGTATGGATGTCACAAAGGCAATATGCACTGGAAATTGCAGTCGTTTAAATTCGAAGGGCGTCAGTAGGAATAACGGGTATTCGCGGTATGAGTACATCCCCATCATTTGCGCAGCCTGTCAACATTGTTGCTTCAATGACACGAGGCATCATATTTACGCATAATTCCGTGCGATTGCATAGTTTTGGTGCATCCAAGTTCATCGAGAACATGATGGGAGAACCAATTTTAAGCATCAAGTTATGTGGCGGCATCCCAGGAGGCACGAGAGAGTTAAGAGTCTCAGTGGGAACCGCCTCGTTAACATCCACTACTGTGTCGACTGACTTGTAGGATCTAGCTTCTCCAGGTAGCTGTTGTTGAATCTGTAAGTTGATGGCATTCACGCTGTTATTTTTAAGAGTAAGTATGGCACGTTCACAAAGCCATTTGTGATCTTTGAAATGGAGACGGATGTTTGTGAACACAGTGGTTTTCAATACTTCAATTGACGCTACTACATTGCAAAAACTGTTCAGAATGCAGATGAATCCACTGGTCGGGTCATCTGACACTTTTCCATTGTCAAGAGTGAGCAGTTGTACAGCAAAGTGGCCAGCAGACACATCTTCCTGCAAGTGAACTCGCATGTTGGTGGTAAGTCCCAGTTTGCGCACATTATCTCCTCCAGAGATATTAAGCTTTCAATCAAGCATTTAGTTCATCGGCCATTGTTCCCTTTGGAATGACGGGCAGCATTTGACTAAAACCATCTGCAAAGATTACAACAACCCCACCTATAAATGTCTGGTTGCCTTTTAGGTCTTGAAGGATTCGATCGAGTGCCTCCAATGCGTGTTTGTGAGACATTGTGAGGTTATTGTGTGGGACGAGTGCACACTCTTGCAGAACCTTGCTTCGTAAAGGTTCCTTTGCTGATGTTGCAAAGAGGACTTTCAGAATGTGCAAGATAAAGAGGCAGCTTGAGGGTTGAGTGAGCAGTACGACCACCGTAAATCAATGTGGCAGCAATTCCAGAAGAGGCCACTGCAAACGCAATTTTTGATTGTTGTCAGATTTTGGCTAAGAACAAGCTGATGACAAACGTCTTTCCTGTTTCACCTGGCGCGTTAAGGAATAATATTCCTCCAGTTTTCCTATTCATCAGGTCCAATATGGCATGGTAGGTAGCTCTCTGATCTGGGACCAACAGTGGCTCATTTACTGACACGGATCGGTTTGTAAATCGCTCTGGAAAATTGCTTTGATGAAAGCTTTGAATAATTTCTACATTATTCTGGAGATTAAAAAAATACTTGTTGGCAAGATGATTTCATCGTTTTGAAACATATTTTCGGTGAAAACATGATCAACAGAATATGACTTACTACCTACTGTAGTGATCCAGCGAAGAGATTAACCCGGGGTACTGTAATGCAGGTGGCCGCGAGGGGAAAGTTTGATGGCATGAGAGCACGAAAAAAAGACGTTCCGGCCGGGAATCGAACCCGGGCATCCTGATCCCCGGTCAGGTGTGCTACCACTGCACCACCGAATCCAGGAGGCAATCGTTTCTCTCAATGCCATCCCAGACACAACAGTACCCCGGAAAAATACCCCGGGAGTGAACATTTTCGATCGAAACTTAGCCCTCGACCTTCCCCTGGATGAAAGAGGTGGCCATGGAAAGCTTTATTGCACTGGCTCCTGCAGGGTCCGAATACATAAAAGAACAGACAGACAGACAGACACATTTTATTCTTTATATACAGAGAGACAATCTTGGGAGCTCAGAGGGGGATGGGATTGAACTGTGAGAGGGCTCACGAACCAGAAAGAAAGGTCTTTGGTATTGGAAAAGCCTTATCGAGAAGAGGCATTCTGTCCCTTTGAAAGCCCGAATCCAGCTCATTACTACTCCTCTAGCACGTTATCCACGTGTCGCATCGTTTCGCAAATTATAAATTAAAGACCAATATAAATTCTCCTTGAAAGGAGCATGAATGCAAGGAATTTACTGAGCAGACGTACATTTATGTCGGCCAAACATATGTGGGACATCTCCCAAGCACCAATGCTTTGGGGTGAGGTAAAAAAAAAAAGAAAATGGTGCACCTTGAAAAATCTTCGATGGGTAACTTGCGATGAAGAGGAGCCCTGGCCCTTACACAGAGGAGAAGCCTTTTGAAAAATGGTTTTCGCGTTACTACATTAAATTCATTCATTCATTGCATGTGACTCAGCTTCTTCTGGCTTCCCATGGATACTGGTTGCAGTTCGAGAAGCTTGGCTGTTTCGACCCACTACAAAGGCAGTTTTAAAAGAGGAACAAGAAAAAAAGCAGAGGCATTGTGGATAAGGTACAGTAGCCGGTGTAGTATACACGAATCTCTCCACGAGAGCACCTCTCCAGAAATGAGATTACGCGCAGTCCTCTACGTGAAGTGGATGTAATCGAAGAAGGCAAAGCAGACCGATTCCAGTTCTGGCTGACTCCATCGTGGAAGAATCTCGGACATGCTTCATAACGTTATATTTGGAGTTCTCGTTGAATGAAAGAAGAATCGAAGATTTCCGAAAGGCATGAAGACTTTTAGCGTTCACCTGATCCTCATCTTTCTGTTCTTCGGAGACAGTAAGTCCAGTTTTTTTGCTTCCATCATCGCACGGATGAGTCCCAAACATTTTTCTCTTCTCTTCTGAGGCGATCAATAAGTTCGATTTTCAAACTAGTTAGCGTTAGGCAACATCTCGAGAGGCTCTTATCACCATAATAATTTATAATAATTAGAACTTAGAGAAAGATTATGATTGAAGTGGTTTGAGATTGTGGGGACTGAATCCTCGTAAAGACACTCACCCTTAAAGCCCTTACCATGCTTATGGAGGCTATTGACACAATTAGGCTTCTTCATTATGCGTATATTAGAAAGAAACTTTGCAAACATCTGACCGTTTGGAATACACTACTCTCCCGAAAACATGGATCTTGAATGATGGATAAAAATAGGCAAACCGAACTTGGAGCATTTTCTCGTGATCATGCGCGTTCTGAATTCTCAAACGCTTTCGTGTGTTCGCATATATGCGAAATTCTATATATAAAACTTCACAAATTACAGATGAGTTCAGAACCCTATAACATCCGTGGTTCCATCGGGGTTGCGATGCAAGAGTGAGTGAACTTATCCCAAAATTATTTTACTTTGTATTACTTCTGGGATGCTCAATCATGCAATTTTGGACTTTTCAGATCTGGGACTTTCACTTGATTCACTTTCGTGTGAATCTTTTGGAAATTGCATACAAAATGTGACAGGGACCAGCGGAATCTTGGAACCTTGCGTGGATGCCAGCGGAATAGTCCCTCAATTCCAAGTATGTCGTAAGAAACAATAATTCGGAAGATTGCTGAAAGCCTCTCCAGAAAACCTTGGTTGAAAACCTTTATAGCATGGTCTTGTAAAAAAAAAAACCAACAGCGATCTATTGTAATTTTCCTCGATCCTGAAAGATTCCCTACTTTCTAATACCAAACGTTACCTTCTCGTTTAACTATATTTCACCGGTTTTTCATCGAATTCCCACCAATTCCACCTCCACCATTAATTCACTGGTGTTGTAAACTAACATGTTCATACTGTTAGTCACTTACATATTAGCTACTTAACTGCCCGTTTCACCTCGAACAGACGGGGGAATATGGGCAGATGGAAGGGCTTTTATTTTTGTTCTAGCTTATGATTGGGATTGGAGACATGTATGCGTGCTTAATAAGTGTCTGCTGCAATGGTGGAAACTGGTTACTCTGTTCGTCGAAGCTTTGACATCCCAACGCTAAACAAAGTTGACAACTCAGTTTCACCAAGTTAGCCTGTTGAATTTCAACTTGTAGCATTGCCTGTGGAATATCCAGAGCAGTCCGACGGGTGTGATGGAGATCCTCTTAACTCCAGAGAACTTTTGGAATTTCACGAATGGAACCCTCCAATTGAGAATTGGCTATGGATATAAGGAAGATTTTCCACAAGGAGCGGACGAAACACAACTGGCTTCATTTGACGCCCCTGTCACGGAAAATGTCACGGTGAATGTGGAGTGCGATGACACCTGGGTTCACATGATGACCTTCGAAGCGATATACCCATTCAGTGTCTTCTACTATGCCGTCCAAAACGGTCTGTTTCCCCCCTCGGTTTCTTCTTACAATATCATTGATTGAATGTTTTTACTTCATAGGCTTAATCCTTTTCTGGGCGACTAGGCACACTCGCTGCTCGTTACTCGCATTCTCGTTAACAAGAACGTCAACATCTAAAGAGACTACAGTTTTTTCCTTCAAGATCCCACTTGTTTCTGCCCTCCAAGTTACATGAAATTTGGTTCACAAGCTCGTACTACCATACTATGCAATCGATTGCAGTTGCAAGTGTGTAGGATAAACATTCACGGAGAAAACTAGCTAATGATCTCATTTCCACAGCGGCTATGAGGGTCATACTCGTACTAATCACCGTGTGGTGTGACAACCAAGAGACAACCTGCCATATGCCCGAGGAATTGGTAAAGAGAGCGGCGCGATTGAATGAGCCAGTTTCCTTTCCTCTTTCCCTCGAGTCACTTCACCATAGCTTTTGTCTTCCGGCGAGTCAAAGCAAATATGAGATCTCTAAAGGAAATTTCAACAAGTCGTTCGGGTGTTTGATCCATGTAGGGTAATTGGGATGCGTACAACGCATGTACTTGATATATGGATTAGCTTCATGCATAAAGCTGATACATGCATAAGGTAAAGGTGGCATACACGGTTTCACCGTGTAGTTTTCAACTGTTAAAATAAGAGGCGACGCCCTCCATTTACCTATATAGGGTCACTCCATTTACACTAATGGAGGAATTCTCGCAAATTTATATTCAATTGGCAACCAATTTACCTGTGAAAGGACAAGAGTTCCTCGCTGGGATATGGACGGACCGCACATAGATGAGACACTTGATTTGGCATTGGATCATTTCTGGGTGCTCGTGGAAAAGGAATACCCTAATATCGCCTCTTCATATACTGTATATATCTATATATATGTACAGTATATGGACGATGGTGACTGACTGACTGACGCTAATTCTAACCATGTTCTAGAAAGGTTAGAAATCTGAAACTTTGTACACATGTACCTACTGGGATGCAGAGTTCAGAAAATCCGAATTCGGAGGTACATGCCCTGGGGGTACACATTTTGGGGGGATTTTTTTTTGATACAACGAAATAGAGACAGAAAATGTAAAATTCCCTCTGAAGCACCTGTTTGATGGCTGAATACAGGAAAAATCCTACTTTTGAAATATGCCCCCTTACCGTGAATTATAGGAGGGAAGTATTTCAAAATGTATTCTCCACCGTTACAAAAAAGGGACACATGAAAAGATTTCAGGTTAGGCACACTAGAAATCATAGAAGCAATGATTTTGATAAAAATCAAGACTTTCGTCCCCATATATCACGTATTTCAATGGGGACGTACTTTAAATACGTGTCTGCCATTTCCCAAATAAAAAAATGAATTAATCACTATCCAAGGCAATTGAGCACCGAAGGCGATATGCGATATCATTGTTGCTGCCATTTGCAACAATCTCCTTGTGCGAGTTGAGCTTTTCGGCTACAACGACAATCAAGGCCAAGAGGGAACGCCTTCTCTCAATGGAAAATGAGCTGAAAGTTGCACTAACTGTCGATTCGAATAATTCCGGCGCATTTCGGCCAAAATTTCAGCGTAATTTTCAAAGATGGCAGACAACGCAATATCGTCCAAAAATGTGCACGCGTCTACGAACTGGTACTTTTATTCTAGTACGGTACAGGGAAACACTTATAAATCTATGCCCTACTCTTCGAAAATTGCGGGGGGGGGAATAATGTAAATCAAGAGTGAAAACTCGATTATCGTGCGATTTCCTCCTGAAGAATGCTCAGAGTTACGCCTCACTTTGCGTCCCATTCTGAATTTACACTCTAGAATATGAGTTTCGCCACGCCTTCGAGATTCATCTGAAAAAAACTGAAAATTTTGATGGAGCTCAACCCCCATAATATTCTTAAGGATCAACATGTGATTTTCTTTTCAATTCTCTTGAAAAGCATGAATAAATTTCATAATTTGTGGGAGAATTACGGCATAAGAGGAATCCGTTCCATCCAATTTTCTCATACGAGGTGTCCCATTACTTTGCCTCGGTCTGACCATGATTTAATATACCAACAACAATTTCATGATTATTCAACATATATCACCCTTAACTCTTTCACTGCTACGCTCGGGTATACCCGTTTTGATTCTTTCGGTTTTTCTTTTATTTCCCCGAGTGTCCCTTTGAGGCATTGGAGTGTTCCATCAGGTGCTGCCATCTATATAGACATATTCTGAACTGGTTGCACTGACTTTGCTTCACTCTGAACGTAATAGAAAATTTTTGTAGAGGGCGCCCTCACATGTTTACTCCCGCCAAAAAAAAACTATTGAGAAAATGGCACGGCCAAGCACTTCTCGCGGTCGGAATCTTTCTGATATCTTTATGAATGACGAATCTGATGAAGAGGGTGAGTTTCTGTATAGTTCGTATGATACAAGTAGCGATAGTGATAATGAAGATGTGCCAGTGAGAAAATGTTGACCACATTCTCATTGCTGTTGAGGACATGTAATTGGACTAAAGACCAAACCTAAAGGTAAGAAAAATAAATTTAAATAATTTCTATTAATATTAAAGTTTTTATACATGTTTTAAATAAATAAAAAACTCAGCAGTGGAAGGGCTAAGGAATGCACTTCTCCCATCGTCCCTTTAGCATCTCTATGCCCGTCTCAAACTATCCTTTCTTGAACACCACAAATCATTCCTTAGTTTCGCGCTTCAGTGCATTGTCGTCCTCAAATCTCAGCCCACCCAGGTGTTCCTTAAGATGTTGAAACACGTAAATATCCCAGGACCCCGGAGGTTCTGTGTCCTTTTCCTGTCAAAAAGCACCAATGCGTTCTTACTGAAATCAACTTCTGAACATCCGCCAGATCGTGAGGTTATCCCTGTTACTTGAAATTATGGGTAAAAACACATTCGTTCAATCGTTGTATCCACTGAGTTTGCCGAACAAGTTCTCCATCCATTCAGTTTCGTTCTCGCCGTTTCTTGTTTCGGATTTTAAAAACCTAAAATGAAGAAACGTAACAGTCCCTGACAATTCAAAACGAGCTGCATCACTCATCAGGAAGTGGATCAGATATTGTTGGTTCTGTCGGCGCTTCGCGACGCGTAGAACGTGTAGGCCTCTGTAAAACTGTTGCTTCAACCTTGGCTCTGTTTCCCTGAGTTCGGACACTCCTTGGCCTCTCAGGAGATGGCACATCAGCAACAGAACCTCTTGAACGGAAGTTAGCAACATAGCGTCGTACAGATTTACTTGATGGAGCAAAACGGAGATTGAAGTGGTTTCTAAACGCACGTTCCGCCAACATTATTGATTTGTGTTCAAAGTACAGTTTCACTATTTTGACACGCTGAGGGACACTTCACTTGTCCATCTTAATGTCTTACCTAGGGAAGTAGAAAATAAACTATATTAATTACATGAACCAGACTAAATGCCTGGGAAATTACAGCTCTCTATCTCCATCGGTTATGCTACAGTGTCACTTTGAAAATGGGTCATTGTTTCTGGTCACCCTGTGTTATCCGTTCAATGCCTTGGGAGAAATTTTCCCTTCCACGATCCACAATTGAAGAGGCTTTCGCTCATATGAGGAATTCTCAATGAAAATATATAAGTATCTCGGTGAGTTCGGCTTTGAAATTAAATTAGCTTTCTTGATATTTTACAGAAATGATATACAATGTGACGATGGCGTCGAGAAACGTCACCATGACAGTGCCAATGACAGAAGTGACCCAACATCCCAACACAACGCCCACGGCGGAAGCGACCCAAGCCATCACGACAGAGTCCACGGCGGAAGAGACCGAACTTCCCACAACGATTCAGCCTCTATACAACATCACTCACCAAGGTGGATGCATTTGTGCTGTAATTCTGGCTGTACCGGTGGTCACATTTTGTCGATGGGTCGATTATAATACCTCAGATCCACCAGCTGATGCCGATGGCTATTGTGAGATGTGGACTAAGAGCGGAAAAACATATTATGCATCTACTGATATAGGCCTTATAGGAATTCGCTTTATAATTTTTTTTAGGGGATTAAGGTGGCTGCTTCAGAAATTGTGATACATTCACCGATGATGCATCGATGCATCACGGATAATAAAGTGGGCGATGATGACGAAAACTACCGATGAAGACATTGACCCATTGAACAATGTATTGTGGTAGCCCTTTATCCTTTTGTTGTAGGGAAGCATTTACCAATCCGCGTTCATGTGGTTTTCTTTCTTCGTTTGGCACTTTCTCCAGCGAGCAACCACATCGCAAGCCTATAATGCCAGCCGACATCGGTGGTTGCTGATGCATCGGTACAGGCCTAGTTGCATCCTCATATGTGCATTCTTACTATGCACTCGGTGCATAGTGAGAGGGGCAGTCAAAAAAGTGCATGGGAATAGCTCTCAAAGGAACAAGTTTTCTGCAAGCAACAAGTAATTTCAAGGCACCTAAGGCATTTTTCGCCTGTATAAAAAAGGAAACTAATTTTTTGACTAACGAAATGGCTGAGTGGCTTCGACTTCCGAAAGAAACTCGGTAGACGAGGGGTGGTGGTGGGATCTGCCGAAAAACGACTTACCTGCTTTCATGGGGAGAGTCTACTTAGCATGGGTTAACATGCACGCCACTCCGTAAACCTCGTCTAGGAGATATGGGTGTACAGTGCCTGTATCGAGCAGGCACCTCATCCTCGGCATACGTCCAATGTCAATTTAGTTCGCCACGTTCTGTTTTTTTAATAGAAGAAAATTATAGTAAACTACTTTTAGACTGCTTCTCGTGCATTCAGACATGGAATAATTTGGATAAAATGTGTTTCTTGGTTCTATCTAATGGATCCCCTTATTTTTCCAGGAAACAGTATGGCGACGTCGAAAAGTGTATCCGGTTTACTTTTTACAGTGGTATTATTCACGACGCATTTCGTAGCATGAAGACTTCGCCAAGCTGACTTTGGCTCTTCTCATCTTTCCAGCTCAGTCACGTTTTCGTCATTCCGACTAGACTACTGTTTCCAGAAAGTTTAACACTCAAGGCATGGGAAAAATAAAATTCTCTGAATGATTTCGCCATGCAATGCTTATCTTATTCTTCGTCGGTGACGAAACAGCATCATGAATACTAATATGAAGAATGTAAGGCTATTCAATCATTAGGTGAATAAATTGTATGCCAACCTTTCCTGACAATGTTACTCGGATATCGATTCGAAAAAGATAAGCTACAAAAAATAGGGACAGCACCAGATTGAACAATGAATTTCAAGAGATCTTTACGTGAAATACAGAATATGTTTAATAAACATTGATAAATCCTTCCAAGTTCTTGAGAACCTGTTCGCATAACTTTGACAGGTGGTCACCATCCTCCTCCATCAAGGATGAACAAGATGTGACTTGCACTTTCTTACTCCCATTATCATTCCCACTAATAAAATACATTGCATAGGACGACTTCATGCCAAATACTTCTCTCAAGAAACGTCATTCGAGGCCTTTTCTGAAAAGCAGTGCAATTCCTTGTCCTTCCAGGTCAACGAATTAAAGTTCTGCACTTGGAAGATAATCAGGCTAAGCCGCATAATCAATGGAAGATTCGGAAATGATTTCGTAAGGCATGGAAATTTGTATAATTCTCGAGTACCTTCTTCAGAAACGTATGTGAATTTGATTCAGAATATCACCCTTTCACGGCTTGAATGCGTTCATACACCATTCTGTAAGAAATGCTGATGACTTTGATTACTACATACGTAGAACCTGGAATGAAAAGGAGATGGGTACAATCACAAATGTCAAATATTTGAAAGGAAAAAGGGAAAGATGTATTTGGTGACAGGACCCGGTGATGAGAACCACAGTGAAAGCGTGGGAAGGAGAAATGGGACCCCTGGGGAGCCCGACTCCAGCCGACTTTGCGCGGAAAGCAGTAAATCCTAATGAGACAAAAGAAGTTGGACAAATCTGAAATCTTGCCCTTTTTAATTCCGCCCCTCAAAGGCCCCAGTCCTGACTATACCTTCGTTTCGGATATATAAAGTCTCAGAGCGGATAGACTTCCCAAAACTTGGTGCGTCGTGTATTTTTTCACGAGTACTTACTTAAGAGCGTCTTACAAGGCGTATTCGGGTATTATGCGCACAACTGTGCACACTGAGTTATGCTTAGGCTCCACCACACGCACACCTGTCGCTATGTTGCATGGCATCCTAGGCTTTCATCTGGTGTGCTCCAGACACACAGGTATGATCCTGGCGTACGTAGAGCCGTATCCCTCATCCCGTACGCGTTGGTGGCAGCGCCATCTAAATGCATCCGTTTGAACTAATATTCTACACTACTTCCTATAGATGTCTACACTCCACGCTCCACATGATTCCCATGAGGTCTTGTCGCAAGGGGCAAGGTCACTACTTTGTCCGCTTCAGCTTTCTCGCACTTTCCCGTTCACTACGCACAAGGTCGAACTTTATCGCCGATCTATATCACTTTGCCCCCGTCGCACTGAAATGATACCCCCAGGGGGGGGGGGGGCAATTGGGGCAATCTACCCCAAGCCCCGCGTATCAAAGGGCCCCAAGGGGGCCTGCAATGATGTCAAGGTCCCAAAAGGGCCCATCCAGACAGTGGCAAATAATAGGATTTTTTAATTTATTTTCCGACGTTCGATGGCAATAATGAAATCGAATCTTTCCATACCTCGGAGGCCTCTTCAATTCGATTAGTCAATCGCAATAAGCAATATGGCTGATTTCCACCTAACATGCCTTGCCCTTGACATACAGTTACTGTAGACCAAGTCATATCGCATGTGAACAGCAACATAGAGCATCATGGCTTTAGCAACAAATAACGTGAGGGTGTGAAGAGGAAACTGTAAATCAAGATATGTTCATGTCTTCTTGATGGTGAGTGGATTTTTAATAGGGTAACTTGGGGGAATATGGCGATTGGGGTAATATGGCCCTCCACAACATTTTTCTAAACAGGCTGAGAAGCGATTTTGAGTGAAATTGGAAAATATGACCATGGAAGAGGTCTATAAAAGCTGATGTTTTAAGCCATGTTCCTAAATGCAATTGTCCACAGGAAAACAGGATACACAAACGTTTGCAAAGAAGGCTGCGGACACTTGCTCACTTCATGACACTAAAACTAATATGAACCTTGAACCATTTAAGCAAATACTCCCTGTTGGCTCCATGAAAATTATATCCATTTCTTCTAAGACTTTTTATGGTCCTTCTATAATGTATGTGCAAATTGCCAGCCCTCTCACTTACAGAATGCTGGAAGCATTGCCACTTTGTCTTACGAGCCAATTTGGGGGAATATGGCCACCTCGATTTGGGGTAATATGGACACTGCCATTATTTCACGTCAAAACTGCTCTGACCTATCAGCGATATTATTGTGATAGGGAATAATCTGCCCTTCAAAAAACCTTCGTGCTGGAGAGTCGAATCTGTCCTTGGAATAACCTTGATATGGATTCATTCCCCTCCCCCCCCCCACTCACTTCCGCCTCCCATCAGCTTAATCCATGTATAAAAAGGCCCAGAATTCCGATTCAAAATCATTCGCACCAGCATTGGTATACCACCACGCCACTGAGCCATTGACCCGAATCGACTCACGATTCTTCAGGAAGCCATCAACCTCATCAATACTTCTGCAGGTCTGTAATCCATTTTTTTAATCTGTTGTTCTTATTGGGTATCTACATTGGGTTTATATATTGCTGTTGATGAACTGCTGCCATTGCTATAATTGTGAAGATCATAGAAACCTCTCTTCTCATTCCAAAGATTTTCCATTCTCCCATTTATGTATATGTAATATCAAGGTCAAAGCTGTTCGGTATCATATTTGAAGCTATCATATCTCCATGACATTTACCTTGGCCTTTGAGAAATGAACTTCAGTAATTTTTCAGATGCCCCGAACCTACGTGAAGCAAAATGTACGCCAGCAGTGGGAGGAAAAGCATTTGCAGGCTGCCATTAATGCAGTCAGCAAAGAACTTACTTAGCAAACTTACTTTGCACTTAGCAAAGCTGCTTCAACTTATGGCATACCGAGATCAACCCTGCACCGATACCTTCAGGAGAGGAAAATGAAGCAAAACCCCTAGGAGCCCTATCCAAGTGCGCATGTAAAGCGGCTTGGTCGAAAGGGTGAACTTGGAGAAGACGGAGAAACTGCCTTAAAAAATCCCTTGTAGGATTTGGCAGCGCATGGCTTTCCCCTCACACGTCATCAGGTGAGAGCTGCAGCATTCAAGTTTGCTGCGAAGTTGGGAAATCACCGCTTCAATCAAGTCTTGGGCGTAGCTGGATGGGACTGGCTATATGGTTTTCTTCGACGCAACCCTGATCTTGCCATAAGGAAAGAAGAACCTTTGTCATTGGGATGAGCAGTTGGTATGAATACGGAAGAAGTGAAGAAATACTTTAATTTGTTGTCCAAAAAGCTTGATGATCTTGAAATCAAGATGAAACCACATCGAATCTTCAATGCGGATGAATGTGGTCTGCAAATGAACACGTCTTCAGAAGGTGATTGTCGAAAAAGGCTCCAACGTAGTGCACTCTGTGGCTCCAAAGGAAATGAGGGAAACTGACAATTCTTGCTTGTTGCAGTGCGGCTGGTAGTTACCTGCCCCCTGTTGTTATCTTCAAGGGAAAGCGACACCGGCGTGAGCTGGGTGAGCGCCTCCCACCAGGTTCCATGCCAAAGTTCAGTGAAAGTGGTTACATAAACACAGCTCTGTTCATGGAGTTCCTGGAATTCTTTGTGGCTGTAGTTCACTCCACAGTTGAAGCGCCTGTCCTAATTATTGATGGACATGATGCCCATGCAACTGATCCCGATCTCTTGCAGTACGCCAAGGATCATGGAGTCCATTTGTTGTGTCTGCCTCACACATACAACCCATTGGCTACAACCGACTGATAGGTCTTTATTCAAGCCTCTGAAGTACTACTACTACAAGGCAGCTGCTTCATGGGCGCACACTCATGGGGGGAAAGCGTTCACCAAGCTGGAATTCGGAGGTCTTCTCAGGGAAGGGTGGTTTCAAGCGGCGACCGTGGGCAATGCTGTGAATGGTTTTAAAGCTTGTGGCATCTATCCATTCAACCCCTCTGCAATTCTAGGGAATGCATTTCACCAAACAGCTCCCAGTCCTGAGAGACAGAATGTGGAAGCAACCAACCTGGATGTCTCAAACTCAGACCCATTGAGAATCACGCCAATTCAACCTGCCAACCGCAACAATAGTGATGAAGTACCTTCCCGTAATCATAGAGCTATCCTTAACACGATGTCTTCCCAGTGCCATCTTTGCAGAAAGCAGTCTCAAATCGCTACCAAACGAGGAGGCGCACTTCACAGGACTTGACGAGTGACGACCACATTTCACAAATGAAAGAAAAGCGTAGGAAGAGAGATGAGAAGAGACTGGCATCACTGTAATGCCAACTGACACATGAGATGCAAATAAAGTGCCTACCTCTCGAAGTAAGAGGTATAATTAATGTAATTATTTGTATGATGATAATCTCTATGGAAGTGAAGAAATGTGGGACCATGTAATGCAATCATTGTACAACGATGTTGCCATCCTTGTTTGTCATTTATGCGGTTATTAATCCGTTTTTTTGTCAATAGTTCACCTTTGTTTCCCAGGTATTCAATATATGCAATAAACTTGCTTATGTGACTTTAAAAACGCTTTGTTTTCTGATTTTTAAGGAGTGGCCATATTCCCCCAACAATAGGGGTAATATGGCCTCTTGGGACCCATGTGAAGAGGTCCCAAATACTCTTTTCCCATTTACTTTTCTGCACGGATCTTGTTGGGAATAAAGGAGACATCAATCAATATTTCCTGAATATTGGCAAAGTTTCATTTCACCAAGACGTGACGCTATAACCTCATTTCATTTTTGGTGTCCATATTCCCCCAAGTTACCCTATATAATGAAAGCTATATTAGGCCCTAATTATGCACAATCCAAATGGCGGAACTGTTAACATATTTACCCTTTTACGACTCACAGACGCAAACGCAACGGAAGCCACTAAGCTCCGCGCATACAGGTGAAAATCAATCAATTTTATTTCCACCTTCACGATTAGCTCTTGTTAGCCAAACCCATGGCTTTGGTTGTTTGTGAATCAGCGACTTGGCGTTATATCATTCGCAACAAAGTATTATATAAAGCGATTGCCAAAATAATACGATGAACTAATGTGAAAACCAACTTTCATAGGCTTTTCCCTTTCGTCAAGCCAACCCCCTCCCCACAGGCCCCACTAACGTTAGGCTAAGGCCTAACCCTCGAACTTTCTTCAGGTCAAGTCTAGTCCTACCTTTCTTCATTCAATATTACCTTCACCCGAGACTTACGGAGCCGATTTGGCCTTTAAGGTCTATCCCGGGATCTTCGGGACATCTCGGTGAGGACTTGTTAGGCCTGAGGTCATTAGTAAGGATGTCCAAGCATGGCATATTCCATTTCAGTGCCACAAATCTATCTGCCAATACAACCATGAAACGACAATATCCCTCGGGGACAGCAGAACGGAAGGAAAGGAGAAAGTGTGCAGAATGCGCTCATTGAGGCTGCACTGAAGGGGGCTCGCACTTAGGAAGACTTAGTATGGAGGAAAGAACGCCAACTCCCAGTCGCCGATTCCAACAACGCGAATCTCGGCACTGGTACAAGAGGAGAAGCTGATGAAGCAGTAGGCGATGGTAAGTGTGTGCCTGCAACTGTAAGTCAAGGTCAAACGCAATGTGATAGCAGCATTACGGAAAAGACCGCGGACTTATACAACCCCAATACACAGAAGGAAAATGTCACACGCATGTTTCCTCCATCCGACGAACCTACCAGTCAGGAAGCTGACGTATGTGAGCCTCCATCTGCCCTCGAGGACTTAAGCAATGACCCCTGTACCTGGCGACGAATCGACCAAACTTCTCGAGACCCGTTAGCTATAAAGGGCCCTCCTTCAAATCCAAGCTCATTTCCGAGAGATTCGAGAGGCAGGCCATTTCCCGTAAACATATTAAAAAAGTATTTGCCCACTGGCGAAATTGTCCACCAAGATTGGTTGGTTTGGAGCGCTAAAAAGCAGGGTCTTTTTTGCTGGTCATGTTTCCTCTTTCATACCTCTGATGACGTGTCAAATATATTTTTTCGGTTGAGCATTCCCACCTGTGGACTTACAATTCAATGGAAGAAGTTGCATGAACGAGTTCGAAGTCATGAACGCAACCCTGACCATCTTTCCAGATACCGAGCTTGGAAGGACCTCTTCGTCACACTGGAAAAAGAAATTCAGGCACGGACAAAGAACTTCACATGGCCATAGAAAAGGAGGCACAAACGTTGCGAGAAGTATTGTGTTGCGTTCTTGATGTAACGTTACACCGAGCCGAACGAAGCCTTCCTTTTAGGGGTAGTACGTCGAAAGTGGGAGAACCAGGAAATAGCCTATTTTGGGGGACTTTCAAGTTACTCAGCAACTACCATGCAGTCCTTAAAATTCACCTAGAAAAGATAATACAAAAACAACAAGAGCGAATGCCGGCACATTACTTGTTTTGGCGTACGCAGAATGAATTCATTGAACTCTGCGCAAGGCATGTTATGGAAGCGATTGTACACGAAGTTGACATCGCTCATTACTATGGAGTAATTATGGATGGCACTCCTCATATTTCTAACACGGAGCAAGTTACATTTATCTTGTGTTATGCTCTGCAGCAGGGATCGAGGAACGGTTTTTGAAATTAGAATGCGAAAAGAAAAAAGGAGTCGATATCGCCGAGCTTATTTGCAATGCACTTCCCGATAACAACATTGAATTAGACAGGTGTCGAGTGCAGGGCTATGATAATGGTTCGAACATGTCCGGCGTCTATAAGGGTGCGCTATACTCCCCTTGCAGCGCGCATAGCTTAAACCTTTGCGGCGTCCATGCAGCTGAGTCCAGTGCTACAATGAAACGTTTCCTCGAAAACATGCACAAATGTTACGATGCTTTCAAGTCCAGTCCAGCTAGGTGGAAAATTATGAAGGAGAAAGTTGGTGTGTTGTTTCACAGTCTCTCAGAAACACGTTGAAGTGCAAGGATAGAGTCAGCTTGTCATCTATCATCTATCTCCAGATGATAGGAGCAAGATTTGGCAAACATCTAATTAACTATTGATGAGGAAGTTCGACATAATGCTAGTCTTTTAAAAGAAATGTAGCTCCTACGTGAGGCGTGGGTTGAGGTTCTAACTGAAGCCAAGCTAGTGGCCGGACAATTATGATTGGAGATCAAAGTTAGACCCGAATCAGAGCGTAGGAGGAAAATATTCTTTGACGAGCCTGGTGACACGGAACATCTCTTTCAATCCGCTGAAGAAAAATTCAAAGCGACCGTGTTTTTTGTAGCTATAGACAGGATACTTCTCGAATTGAGGGAAAGGTTTCAGGCCGCGACCAAAATGAATCAGCTGTTCTCATTCATTACGCAGGACTCTGAGGTAGGCATACGTCCAGAGGCCATTGAGACACAGGCGAGATATTTGGCTCTGCAGTATCCTTCCGACCTGGAGGTTTACGATATGACCGAGGAACTGCGCCACTTCTCGAAAATAAGGCAGGACCTGTTTTCCATGGGCATGAAGAATTTCGCTCCTTAGCGGAATTTACGGGAAAATATTGGAAACATTTTCCCTTAAATTTGCGTCTTTCTTCGAATTTTTCTCTCAATTCCAGTGTCTGTCGCTTCGGCAGAACGCTCGTTTCGCAAGCTTACCCACATTAAAAACGACTTGAGATGAGTTCGACAACGAAAGAAGCGTGAATTTATCTACCCCTAAATGCTGAAGGCAAGAGGGAAATACTTTAATTTTTTTCCTATAAGGCTGCAGCGGTGGACAGCCCTGTGAAGAACTTCCGCGGCTGAATTGAGGTTGACGGATTCTCGATTGCTTCCACTGCATCGGTTGGTATCTCAGTTGTTATCTGCTCCGGTCCAAATTTGAAATACCACTGGAGTTTGTGAAGAGTCAAAAGGGGAAGGAGCTGCTTTCCCATTCTGGGTTCACATACGAGGGATGTTTCACTTCCGCCGGGACTTCAATCATTTGTGTGCTTTCAGCAAGTAAAGACCATGCTGCCTCGATAGAGTGATTCTTCAGGGTGTTTCCACATTTTTTTCATAATTTTTCCCCTCCTAGTCTTTCCAGGATGGAGATGAGAAGCGAGCCGATGCGCGCGCCACAGAGTAATCCACCAGTGCCGCTAGCGCGTGACTTTCGTGTGATCATGTTGCATCACTTTCGGCGTGGCACTTGCTTACCTGAAGTTTTTGCAGCTATGGTCAGAGGTCGCCTCAAAACCCTCAGAAGTCAGTGGCTTCATCATGACAACGCTCCAGCCCACACAGCCAACATCACAGTGGCATTTCTTGCTCAATCGGGTGTCAAGGTTTTGAAGCCTCCCCCCTACTCACCAGACCTTGCCCCATGCGATTTTTGGTTATTCCCAAAACTGAAAGAACCCCTGCGTGGAGTGAACTTTGAAACTCGAGAGGAACTGATTGCTGGAGTGAGGGAACAGCTGAAATTGATTCCAAAATCGGCGTTTTTGGAGTGTTTTCAAAAATGGGTCCGCAGGGCTGAAAAATGTGTTGCAATTGGCGGTGACTATGTTGAGAAAGTGTGAAAAGAGTTGAAGAATAAGAGAAAAATGTTTGAAAAATTCTTTGGAATCATTTTATAGCCAAGTCCCGGCGGAAGTGAAACATCCCTCGTATTGCAAAGAAAAGGAGAAGGGCGGCAAGATATTTTGGAAAAGTACGCAGTACTGGAGTCATAAATGCCGCGGCAGGAGGAGATCACATACTAAAAGCGAGTGATCACAACCACGTTCCAGAGTGTGCAGCAACCAGAGCAAAGACAGTGTACGAGGACATGAAACAGCAAGCAAGACATACCCTTTCATCATCTTTTGATTTTTAAGCTTAAAGTGCCAAGCTGAATCGTTCAGCCACATTTTCCTTTTAAAATTAACAGCTTAAGGAAAGGAGGACAGTGCCATGACACTAAATTTTCGAAGGAACCTATGAGTTCTACATCTCTGTTTCCATTAGTATGAGTCCATTACTTTGCGCTGTGGGGATGGCGGGGACATACTCCGCATTTTCCTTTAATCTTTAGGGAAACCTGGGGCTCTTCCCTCTGCATCATATTCACCCATCTACAAGTGCATGGCCAATGTAGGGAGGATCCTACCTTCAGATGTGATATGATCGTCTTCTCTTCGAACATGTATCACATGTGCATGGAACGAGTTCACTGGCATTGGCATGCAATATGATGAACAGTCTCGGAAT